CCTTGTGGTGTATGGGATGACACTCCAAACAACTGAGCCACCCAGCCAGGGCAGATGTTTCCTCAATGACATCTAACCTGATAAGCCTACTTAAAATCACAACTGCTGCCCTGGCCAGTGTGGCTCAGTTGGAGACAGCCGATTGATGTTTCTTTCTCACATTGATGTTTGTCTCTCTCCCTTTCTCTGTCTCTAAAAGCAGCAAAAAAGTGTCCTTGGGTGAGGATTAAAAAAATAGTTAAGATTGCAACTGTCCCCTCACCCAATTCCTTGCTCTATTTTCTACAGCATTTACCACTTTCAGATATACTGTAGTTCTAATAAGACTAATATTTATTTTTATAAGCCATGTTTATTTTTATAATTTTTTTCTTACAATCCCCACTACACTGTAGCTTCACAAGGGCAGGGATTTTTTAAATATCTTGTTCATCACCTGGTAAATATTTGTTGAATGAAGACAACCATTTCCTCAGGTAGTACTTTGAATCTCAAAACTAAATTTATGGCACCACCTAGTGTTCTTGGAAGGATGTACTGATTAACCCTGAGATTTATTTGCATTAGCCATGTTTTAATCAAATTCTCACTGTTTTGTTTTGTTTTGTTTTACTGTCCTCTGTGGTTCTGTAAATATTAAAATGTTTTTGATGATTAAATAGTATGAAACATACTGACTTCTCTAAGGGCAACCTCTTCTCTACCAACTTGCCCCAGAATTCTTGTGGGACTAGGAGTGTCATGAAGTTCTATGTCTTTTAACCTCAGGAATCTCCCTCTCCCCACTGCCAAAAACCAAAAACAGGGTAATAGACTTTGCTGTTTTGGTACCTACAACTGTTCTCCAGAATATCAAAATACATATTTATTGATTTAGAAATTTTCATTTTGGCCATAAAAGCTTCTAAGGCAAAACGATAAAACACTAGCAAGGGTAATGATATTGTTTAAAATAGTATCAGGATTGCCCTGGCCAGGTGGCTCAGTTGGTTGGACCATCATCCTATACACCAAAAGGTTTGCAGGTTCAGTCCCTATTCAGAGTGGGTATGGGAGGCAACCAGTTGGTGTCTCTCACATCGATGCTTCTCTCCCACTCTTTCTCCCTCCCTTCCCGTCTCTGAAAGAAAGAGAGGAAGAAGGAATGAAGGCAGGGAGGAAGGAAGAAGGGAAGGAAGAAGGGAAGGAAGAAGGGAAGGAAGAAGGGAAGGGAAGGGAAGGGAAGGGAAGGGAAGGGAAGAGAAAAAACAAAAGAAAAGAAAATGAGAGACAGCAAGCTGCAGAATTTGCCTTGCATTTTAAGGATGCTGTGGCAAGGAGCAAAAGCAGTATCAACATCAAGGTCAAAGGCAGAGGATGGTTTGCAGTGGCACAATGAAGAATATTCTGGTTCTTGCTGCCCATCTACCGGCTTTTGAAATCTGCTATTCAGAACTTTTGATTCTACCCTCAAATTGCCCAAAGCTTCCTCCTACTTGACCACTGTTTCTAATGTTTTAAGATGGTGAAGTGACTCAGTTTCCTAAATTACCAATTAATATGCTCATTTTTTGAATTTGGATAATCTCAGCTGTATATTAAGAAAACAATTCAGCCCTGGCTGGGTAATTTAGTTGGTTAGAGCATCGTTCCGAAACTCCGAGGCTGTGGGCTCGATCCTTAGTCAGGGCCCATGCAAGAATAAACTAATAAATGCATGTGCAAATGGAACAACAAATTGGTATTTCTCTCTCCCCACACCCCCTTCCTCCTTCTCTTTAAAATCAATACACATTTTTTTAAATTTAAGAAAACAGCCCTGGGTGGTGTGGCTCAGTGGATTGAGTGCTGGCCTGCAAACCAAAAGGTTGCCAGTTTGATTCCTGGTCAAGGTACATGTCTGGGGTACGAACCAGACCCCCAGTTGGGGGCATGCAAGAGGCAACCGATTGATGTTTCTATCACACATCAGTGTTTCTCTCCTTTCCACCTCTCAAAAAATAAATAAAATCTTTTTAAAAATTTAAGAATCTATTGAATTATCTGTTAAAGTGAGTCCATTAAAAAGTGATTTATTAGGTAACATCCAGAATTATCTGCATTATACATTATACTTTTAAAAAGAGTATGAATTCTTCAGAATTTCAGATTTATTGGGTCTTTCAGGGGATATTTGTGGGTAGGAGGCTTCCCATACTTTCCAGGTAATTCTGAAAATGGTGCCCCTCTCGCTATCCTCCTGGGACCCAGGACTCCTTTCCTAAATGTTTACTTGACTCTAAATTTTCTAAAATACAAGGTTACTTGGGAAAGGGAAGTGGTTATTCTCCTTTTTGGATAGAGTTTTTCAACGCGTGCTTTGAGGATTGCTTGCTCTGACTTACCTGGGGCAACTCCCACCCAACTTCTGACCTCCGGCAACAGAGTTTTACCCAGCTGTGCTAAGAAAACTATATTCTAAAACACCCTTCTCCAGATGACTTGTATAACCTAGGGGGTAATTTTGAAAAGTGAAGCATTAGCATCATTTGTGTTGTTGGGTTCTTTCTTTTTATAGACCACAGACCAGAACTTCAAGGAGTATCATGTAAAAACCTAATTATATGACCAAATATAATTTTAGGAGACTAATAGTTTAACGACTCTATTTACAGGATTGTATGTCCGTTTACTGTAAATTATATGTGTGAAACATCTCAATGAATTATATATGCAAAACGTCTCAAAGAATTCTTTGGTGAATGTTGTTTAATCCTGCCTTGCCATCCATAAAGTTAACCAGCAGGTGAAAGTTTTTACTATGCTACCCACAGGGGAGTCTCCAGTAACCCCTGAGGCATTCTCTCTGAACAAGTCTCATTTCCTGTTTAAAAGGAACTGAGTTTGGTCAATTGTATAGAATTTAGGTTGATTAGACTTAAATTGGTTGTCAAAGGAGACTCTAATTCTGCAGCTTTAGAGATATTTGAAAATAGAAAATACAATCATCTTTTTTAATGAGCAGAGTACACAATAGTGTAAAAATACAGAATCCAAATTGGTCTTTTAAGATTCTTTCTAGTTTTATAATTTGACTAAATTCCCTCTAAAGTCAATAAATCTTTTTTTTAAAGAAAACAATTGTATTATCAGTTAAAATGAGTCCATTAAAAAGTGATTAGTAACTGTAAACTTGTTTTGTTTGTTTCATTTTTTTTAATCAGCAGGGCTTGGTAAGAATTCCTTACCCCTCCCTGATAATATAATAGCCTCTTGAGAATCTTTTATAAAAATACAGTTTAGAAGCACATACATAAAAAGGAGGAAACCATTTAACTTGGTGATAATACCCCACCCAGATAATTCAGATACCTAATAGAATTTTTCACTGAAACTATTTGGTTTGGCCAACTGGCCAAATTCCTTCAGTAACACCACATCATTACTTCTTTTTCTTACACTTTATTTTTACATGTCACATACTCCTGATTCTTTTCAATTGCCACTACCTTTCTTTTCTTTCAATTATCTAAATCACAGTTCAACCAAGGTCACTTACCTTCAAAGTCTTTCTTCTTTAGAGCCAGGTTGCATGCCTCTGTGCTGCAAGAGTGAAAAAGAAACATTAAAGGACACACTTGGGTTGCTGGGATCTGTAGGTGCTGTGGGTACATCTAAGCATCTGGGAACCAGTAATAATACTAGGTAAGAACTGATTCCAAAATACCTTTCAAAAACTAAATATCTCTTCCAGAGGGTGACTAATTTATAAACAATCTAAGGGGAGAGCTTTTATTTAAAGTTTATAATTCTAACGATAATATTCTGTGAAACTACTGTAAGTCTACCTGGTAGGGTAGCCCTTTAAAGCCCAATTTACCCTTCTTTAAGAGATTATGGGAAAATCTAACATTTTAGTTGAAAATATGTAATGTTCACTACTGTTACTGTATCTGGATATGTCCCAATGTATCTGTGGAACCAGGATAACTAATAATCCTTATTCAGCATTTCTTGTATTTTTTTTTTTAATGAAAAGTGGGGTGGATTGGTAGGCTTAATGGCCAGATTAACTGGTGGATTTTTAGAAGACACTAGTAATTTGCCATTAATCTGTAACGAAAGCTTTATCTTCAAAGAAATAAATGAGGCAGTGTCAGGATGGGAAAGACGGACTATGAGGTAGGAGTTCTAAGCCAGACCAAATTCAAGTAGTAGACCTTCATTTTTCTCTACTGTAAAATTAGAAGCTGAAGAAGCTAAAGTTTCTTCCAAAACTTTTTGATCAAACAGGAATGCTAATCAGTTACCAACATAATTAACCAGTGTATCCTGATTTTTAAAAGATATTTTCATTTGTGATTTAAAAGAAACATGGACATCTACATTGTGGCATATCAGTCCTTCAAGACCAGGTAAGAATTAATGAATTGGCAACAAAGTCACATGTTTTAAGGGGAATATACTGTTATCCAAGTGTCCAGAAAAATAATTTAGAGTCTACTGTCCACGAATTTACGGGAAAGCCCTGTTAATGGCACAATTTCGGATTCCACAGACCTCTAAGTTAGCCAGCGTCATTTTGCTGAAGGAGGGGATGGGTTCTGGACTCCTCGGGGAGGGAGGCTACAGCAGTAGGGTTTCTACCAGTCTCTGATGAAAAATATTGAAGGAGGAGTAAAATGGTCCCAAATTCCCCAGTGTGGTCCTCACTCAAAGTTCTGGTTCCCGGAGACGCACGAGGTGGTGGAGATGGTCCCCTACAATTTGCATTCAAACGCGAACGCGCGCTAGGCGCCTGCTGAAAGCAGAGAACGCCGGTTCCCCAAACTCCGGGCCCGCGCTCGCCCCGAGGCCGCGGGAGCCTAAGGAACCTCCCGGTCAACCCCGCCACGCTAATAGGCGTCGCCGCGAGCCAATGAGTGTGTCGAGAGGCGGGGCCGAGAGACCGAAGGGGCGGGATTTCCCGCCTGACCGCCAGGCTCTAAGGGAGGTCTGCGCGGGCGGGGACGGCGGCCGAGCCTGCGAGAGAGGGTGGGTCGGGGTGGGGACCTGTGGGCGGCTGCCGCGTCTCCTACTGCTGCCCTCCCTCCGCCACGATGCCGGGGATCGACAAGCTGCCCATCGAGGAGACGCTGGAGGACAGCCCGCAGGTGAGGTGCGGGTGGCGGCGGGCAGCGAGGGAAGGAGCGGGGCGGGCCAACCCCAGGCCTGACGTTGCCGCGGTCGCAGGTGCCCGCCCCGGTCCAGGTGGGCGCCGCCGCCCTGTGCCCCCGCCCGCGGCGTGCGCTCCTAGAGCCACCGAGAGGCTGGGCCCTAGTCCGCGGCTCGCGTGGGCCCGCTCTGCTAGGCCGAGAGCCGCGCGCAGGGTCTGGGACGTCTGCGGTCGCCTTCGGTGGTGGGCCCGGCGGTCACGTACGAGCGCGGGGGTTTTTTTGGTTGTTTTTTTGCGGGGGGGGGGGGGGGTTGACGATAGGTCCGTTTTTATCGCTGTGGTCTGATGTGATAAATCTCGATCCTGGAATTTTCTCCCCAGAAACTTCTTCGGAGAAAATGCAGAAGGAGAAAGAACCAGGGTGACTTATTTGATAATTTCTGAGCAAGCTAGGGAAGGAGATGGATAATTTTTCTTGGAGAGATGCTAAGAGACTGTTAACTGGACGGTGTAGCCAGTCATCGGAGAAGCTCGTCTTGGTTCGGTAGCCTCCCCGCCTTGTGTGCCCAGGGTCGTGGCCGTGACTATAGCCGCTGTCACTCGAGCCTTGCACTGCGTGTGATGGACGGCGCCTTCGCGGTTCCAGGACTGCTGTGCCGCTCCTTGCAGACTTGGCCCTAATAAACTCGCCAAAATAAAAGCCTTGTGTTCTGCATTTTGCGCGTTGAGGATAATGCTGGTGTGATTACATTAGCTTGAGACAATCTAGGAAAACAACCATTCGTTATATTTTTAGTACTGAAAAAGGAAATCAGCTATCCGATTTTAAAATCATGGTGGGAGCTGTAACTGACATAGAGAAACCTCATCGTTATGTCTGTCTTACACAATAATTTAAGCTATTTAAGAGCACCTTGATGGTTGAATACCACTTAGAATGAGGAAAATGTTCTGAAATGTTCATTTAGAACTACAGTTGCATGTATTTCATGTGTCTTGGTTTAATAAGGCCTCAAAAGAACAGGAGGAAAGGGTTAGATCCTCTTTCCCTGGGTGGCACGCCTGCCGTGGATTTTGTGCCAAGTTGAAATTGGGCTCTGATTGTGGATTTGATTTGTTTTGGTTTTTTTTTCATGCTGAGAGTTATCTTCACAGGCCAATTGCCTGCTGGTAATGTACTCTTATCAGCCTATACTGATACAAAGAGAAACCCCCATCTTGGCTTATTTGACTGCTAGAATAGCCACTTCAAATTATTAATTTCTGCAGTGTAAAGTTATAAGCTATATTTGTCTCAAACATTTTGCAAAAATTTTGTGGGATGTCTTGGTCAGGTGTACTTTGTCCTTTTACTTTTTTATTATCTAAGACTCAACAGGTTGCCTTATTCTTTTACTTGGCCTGATTTTTATAGCCCATAAAGATGATAAACATCTCAAAATGGTTGTACAGTGCCGTAGCCATGATTTATGAGGAGGATATAATCTCTTGACTCATTTCTTGAACTTTTCACACAGTTAGATTACAACCTGAGCATTAGTTTTCTTTTTTTTTTTTTTTTACAAGAATGTGCTATATTAGTATTAGTTTTAATTTTTACTGAAATACTCACATCGATACTTAATTTTCTAGAAGTAATATCAGTAATCTTGAACTAGATAACGTTTATTTGGGAAGATTAGTTGGGGGCAAATGGGATTTGGAAAGGAATGACACTTGAATGACACTTGGAAGTAATTCTTAGGGAAAATCTGTGGCAGAATGGAAAGCCCTAGGTCTGGTATTCATGATATAATAGTTTTAATCTTCACTGTCACTTAATCCCTTCTGCTTTAGGGAAAATCACTCAACCTCTCTGAACCATCCCTGTTATAGATAGTAAATGTTTTTTATCTTTGTGCCTGGTTATAAAAATAATATTTACTTCAGAGAAATTGGAAGTAGAGAAGGAAAAGCAGTTATGTGCTATGTACTCAACAGCAAACCTTGTTAACAGTTTGCTTTCTTTTTTCTAATTTTTTTCTCTTACATGTTTTAAAGTAATTGAGATGATATTGTGCATACAATTTTTTGGCTTTAATTCAACATTATGGCTTAAGTATCTTTACATATTATTACATTCTGAATAAAAGAATTTAAAGCCTGCGTGTTTCCTTAACTGACTTAACAGTTGTCCTATTGGACTTTTAGAGTTTTTTCCCCAAATTTTGCTTTTCTATATAGAGCTGAGATTCCTGCTTTTGGGCATAAATGTCTGTTTAGGATAGAGTGCAAGAAGCTAAGTAACAAAGGGTATGGAAACTTTTAAAGCTTCTGATATAAGTTTTTATTAGATCATTTGGTCCTAATCATTTTTAAATAGCCTGCCAGTTGCCATGTAAAAAAGTTGGAGCCAAGGAGTCATGAAAGGCTACCCTGAATTACAGTTATTCTTTTTTTAGTTTTGATTTATAGTAACTATTAAATTAGGGAGGAATCTGCAAGTTCAAATCTAACAGATCAAACATTAGCCGTTCTAGAATTATCATGTCTAAACAACACCATTCTGGAAAAGATCATCTATTGAGGCAAAATATCTTAAGACTACACTAGATGCCTTGTTCATCCTTATATATTGTTTTGAAAATCAGAAACAAGATGAAACTTCCTAATTAGTAAGAACAGATATGATCTTTAAAAAATAATTGATTTTCTATGCAGATAAATACCTTATTAATGATTATTCATCCATCTAGAACTGTGAAGACAAACTCCAATCACAAAGGGTGGCTTCTTTGTCATAATGTAAAAAATGTGTCACAGATTATAACACTTTTTTTATCTCTTATCTATTGTAGAGTCTCCTTACAGCTGATGATGTTTTACTTGTAATTGCCTGCCAGTGTACACACTTGGTTCTTTCTGCTAGTGGCATGACTGGCCAAGTGTGACCTCTCAATGTTCAGCCAACAAATCAATTTAACAACAACTTGAAGCATTATCAGTCCTGTCCGTTGTTTAAAAGTATTCCTTTGACACCTTGTTAGATGAAGCAAGTGCCACTGTCTTCTTGCTGAGCCCTGGCTGAGGGGCTTCGCTTATTCTAGCATCGTCCTCATACGCCAAGGTTTCAGGTTCAATCCCCAGTCAGGCACATACAAGAATCAACCAGTGAAGGCATAAATAAATGGAACAACAAATCAGTGTATCTCTCTCCCCAACCCTCCCTCTCCCTTTCTTTCTCTAAAATCAATACATTTTAAAAATATTGCGGAATGGGTATCTGATGGCAATATTTGTAAGAAAATACAGGGTGGGGCAAAAGTAGGTTTACAGTTCTTATGTAAAACACAATAATAATAATACAAGAATTAAATTTTCTTGTATTCACAACTGTAAACCTACTTTTGCTCCATCCTGTATTGGGGACGAAAGTGGAGTGCTTCTAAGTAATATTTGTCATCTCAAGGCACAGAATGATATTGGATGAGAAAACATGGATATTAATAATTCTTGTGTCAAAAAGTGACTCACAAGAGTTGAACTCTGTGAAAAAATTTCAAGATTATATTAAATTTATGCTGCTTGTGTTTTCCTTTTTATGTTTATATGGGCATTATGTATAATTCTGTCTAACAAGATTTCTTGATGCTTTTCTTTTTATATCTTAAAATAGCACTTTGAGAGGTGGGAGTGGGGCACTAGAGCCAGGAAATAAAAAGATTCTGTCAGATCTAAATCTCTGGGGCATGGGGAAGGTGGAGGAGTGAGAATGTGGACTTTGTATACTGGCATAATGATTTCATACTTAAAATAAAACCATATTCACTTAGCTTCCTCTTCTGAAAATAGGAAGCTAAGGAATGAGTTGATTTTTTTTTTTTAAACCAACTTTTTTTTAATTGATTATTTTAGGGAGAGAGAGAAAGATCAATTTGTTGTTCCACTTATTTATGCATTCATTGGCTGATTCTTGTATGTTCCCTGACAGGGGATCAAACCCACAACCTTTGCATATCAGGAAGATGCTCCAGCTGTCTGAGCTACCCTTCTAGGGCCTAAAAACCAACCCTTAAGGTTGAGGCATTAATTAACTATTTTTAGAATAAAAATACAAGGTCATCTTTTTGACTTTAAGCTGCAGTTTTGGTTATAGTTTTTAGTATTTTAATTCTTTCTTGCCTTTGAGATATAAAAAAGTGAGTATACTTTGCCTTGGTATACTGAATTTCCTTATCTCTCATCCTTTTTTATTGACAATTTCAATATTTACCCACAAGTTTTTTCCCTTAAAATGAATATAATGTTTACATGCTCATTGGGAAAAAAAAAGCCTAACGATGTAGAAGTGCATAAAGAAGAAAAATAACACCAAATTTTGCACTCAAAAACATAGTTAATGTTTTATTTTTTTATTAAATATTTTATTGCTGTTCTATTCCAGTTGTCCCAATTTTTCCCCCTTTGCCCTCCTCCATCCCGCCCACACCCCATTCCACAGTCAGCCCTCACCCTGTTGTCCATGTCCATGGGTCATTCATACATGTTCCTTGACTAGTTCCTTCCCCTTCTTTCCACCTATATCCCCCTCTCCCCTCCCCTCTGGTTGCTGTCAGTCTTTTCCTTGTTTCCATGCCTCTGGTACTATTTTGCTCGTTTGTTTGTTTTCTTCATTAGGTTCCTTATAGGTGAGATTATATAGTGTTTGTCTTTCATTACCTGGCTTATTTCACTTAGCATAATATTCACTGGTTCTATCCATGCTGTTAAGCAAGATTGGAGTTCCTTCTTTCTTTCTGCTGTATGGTATTCCATTGTATAAATGTACCACAGTCTTTTGATCCACTCATTTACTGATGGGCACTTAGGCTGTTTCCAGCACTTGGCAATTGTAGATAACGTTCCTCTGAACATTTGGGTGCATACGTTCTTTTGAATTGGTATGTCAGCATTCTTAGGGTATAATCCCAGCAGTGGAATTACTGGGTCGAATGGCAGTTCCATTTTTAGTTTTTTGAGGAAATTCCGTACTGTTTTCCACAGTGGCTGCACCAGTCTGCATTCCCACCAACCGAGCACTAAGTTTCTCTTTTTTCCACATCCTCACCAGCACTTGTTTGTTGATTTATTAATGATGGCCATTTTGACCAGTGTGAGGTGGTATCTCATTGTGGTTTTAATTTACAACTCTCTGATAGCTAGTAATGTTGAGCATCTTTTCATATATCTATGGGCCCTCTGTATATCCTCCTTGGAGAAGTGTCTGTTCAGGTCCATAGTTAATGTTTTATAGGCCATGTTGGAGAGAGGCACTATGATATCATTTCTGGATTAGGATGGGGAGGTATTTGGCATACTAAGTTATCCCAAAATAAGACATTTAAAATATTTATACATGGAATACTATTAATCTTGCCTTGAATATTTCTGTTGATTTGTTTTAGTTTAACTACAGACTTTTTACTTCATAAAATATATCTTTGTTGTTTCTTCTAAAATTCATGTGTTGTATTTGGAAAATCCCTCTGTTATAATGAAGTGAAATTGAGAACAAAGAATCCCAACATCTTAGTATTACTATCAAAAGAGAAAATATATTAAAACTCAGATTAATTAGAGCTCTAATATTCTATAATTTTCCCTTCCTTTAGGAAAAAATTCCATGTGATTTATATAATGATTAATATAAACTCATTGCTTTTATTTTATACAGACAAGGTCTTTACTGGGTGTATTTGAAGAAGATGCTACAGCTATTTCCAACTATATGAACCAGTTGTATCAAGCTATGCATCGGATTTATGATGCACAGGTAAAAAGTTAAAGGGTGACTCCTTGCTTTTTAAAAATGAATCTTTAGTCCTGGCTCAGTTGTGTGGAGCATCATCCTGTGCACCAGAGGGTTGAGAGTTCAATTCCCAGTCAGGGCACCTGCCTAGGTCAGGGCACATGCCTAGTTTGTGGGTTGATCCTGTCAGGCCATGGTTGGCATGCATATGGGAGGCTGCTGATTGATGTTTCTCTCTCACATCAGATTTCTTTCTTTCTCTTTCTCTCCCCCTTCCTCTCTCTAACATCAATGAACATATTTATATTAAGGAAAAAAAATGAATCTTTAAGCCCACGAGGACAGAGAAGTGTTTATCTTTATCTTGTTTAGTGGTGCCTAGCCCTGACCTGGGCTCATAGTAATAAATAGTTGTTGAACGGGTGAATGAACATTAAGTATTTTGTATTATAGAGCTCACATTTCAATTACTAATGTATGGTTTGTAGTACCACAAAAGTTATGAAGATTGAAGCATCCTACCCTTCCTCCCCAAACCCAGTAAAGACTTTCTTAATTGAAACTTACTGATAATGACTTTTGCCTAAAATTTGTCTGAAAACCCTATGTTGGCACCAATTTTTCCTAACCATGCTTTTAATCTTATGGAATATTTCCTCCTCTTTTTGAGCAGAGAATTTGCAAGTAATTTCCCTTTATCTAGTTAATAGAAGGTGATAAAAATTAGATGTAGCTGTGGGACACAGGAGATGAATTTAAGAAAATAGAAATGACTAGATTTTTCTGTTGAACAGGAATAAGATTTGAGGCCTTGTTTATGAAACTTAATTATAAGCCGTAACAACAACCTTTCTTCTATAATAAACTTTCTTTGGGATTAATTAAGTATACTTATTTTTTTCCCCCTTCTAATTTTCTCTCCTTTCTGGACTCACATTTTCATTATGTACTTAAAAGTTGTTGTGATAGGTTTTTTTTCCTTCTGATTGGTCTCTCAGATTTGATTTCTGACCACAGATTGAGATGTAAAAGAAATTTTTTTTTTTGTCATTATAGTCATCACTGAAAAAAAAAACAACCTTTAAATTAAAAAATGTTTCCTTCATATGGCTCTGTTGCTATATTTTATGACTGAGTGGACCACATTTTGGTTCTATGTTATTAAATGCTTATCATGGTCTAGTATCAGCATCTAGAAAAAGAAAGTTGTCAATATAGAATCTCTTAAGATTTTGTTAAGATATGTACAGTTTACTTCCAGCTTTAAAGCTTTAACAATATTTATTTTAATGCTTAGTTTTTATTAGTTAAAAACAAATACACTTGGAACACCCCGGAATTCCTTGATGGTATATATTTCATGGTTTGCGTATCCCTTTAAAGCACTTTGATGATAATTCCATTTCCCTTGATTAGTGAGGGATTTAGAGAACTTGTACAGTGTTTATGTTAAGTGATAAATAAAAGTGGTGTAGGTATCTTCAACTAAAACTTTTTCTTATCAGTAATACTGGGTTAATTTGAATTAATCTTTTTCGTAGAATGAGTTAAGTGCAGCAACACACCTGACTTCAAAACTTTTAAAAGAATATGAAAAACAGGTACTGTATATGAAAGTTTTAAAAGCATAATTTAAACTATGCATTGATATAGTATCTATATAGTTAAGTACAATTTCTCAAGAATCTTAAGCTTTTTTGAATTCATGAAAATTAATTTTGATATGTCATTGAAATTCCATTATAGCACTTACATCTAATTTTAATGATTTAATATTAGATACAGAGGTTATATAATTTACCTCTCTTCTTTTTACAAGTGAAGAAACTGATGCTTTCCTAAGTTACACAGCTGGTTATTGGAGGAATTAGAGCTGAACACCAAATCTTTGAACTCCTAGTATGGTGTGCATTTCTATATACCATGTTAATTGGTTGCTTAGCAACATTTTAATTAATATTTACTAATTATATGAATTATACTATTTTATTAAAATAATATTTTTAGAGCTTATTCAAAATTTTAGAAGTTTTCTGAAGTTATATGAGGATTTGAAATTATAATGTCACTCACAAAAGACATAGAGCATTGACCCTTTACCTCATCTCTGTTTCTCACCTTTCAGCGTTTTCCATTGGGGGGTGATGATGAAGTTATGAGCTCTACTTTGCAACAGTTTTCAAAAGTTATAGATGAGGTAAGTGCTTATTTTATTTTGCTTGAATAAGTCATCCTATTATTAAGTTACTCAAGTTGTTTAGCTTTTTGGGGAACTTTTATTATGATTATATGAGTAGTTTCTATTAATAAAAGATTACTACTATTTAAGACCTTATTTCAACATCTTGGTGGTTGTCTTGTGAAAAAAATACTTTCTTTGTCTCATTAAAACAAATTGTTTTCAAACAAACTTACAGATATGCTCTCCTGGTACATGTAACAGTCAGTTGTTCACTGTCCTATTTGATTTATCAGGGGATAAAAGAGTTCAACTGTGAGCTATACCTAGGCTCTTTATGGTTTCCCTTTTTTTCTGTCAGGCAACATTTTACATTGAGTTCATTAATCTTTCCATTCCAGACAGCCAATATCAACCTTTAATTTCTCTAGTTTCAGAACAAATCACTAAAAACAGACCTTTCCTACTAGGAAAGGTGGGGAGAGAAGTTTGGAGACTCTATAACTATTCTCTGCTGGTTCAGTGAAAGCTCTTCTTTTCACAGGCACCATTAGATAGTTCTGTCTATTTTAGTCTCATAAGCGGAAAAATAATTTTTTGAAATATTTTAATAATTTATTATAGCAAAATACTGTCCAGCAGATCAATATAAATACTTACAGGAAATGGAATTTTTTTATTTTGGTAAAATATACATAACATAAAATTTACCACTGGTGACATTTAGTACATTCACAGTGTTATGCAACCATCAGCACTTACGTTTTAGAATACTTTTATCATCATCCCAAAGGAAACCCTCTGCCCGTTAAGTAGTCACTTCTTATTTGTCCCTCCCCTCAGCTTCTGGCAATCATAAATCTGCTTTCTGTTTGTGTGGATTTGCCTATTTTGAGTATTTCTTATAAATGGACTGATACAATCTGTGGGTGTTTATGTCTCTGCTTTTACTTAGCAAAATGTTTTCAGGGTTCATCTATGTTGTAGCATGAATAAGATTTCATTCCTGTTTTGGCTAAACAAAATTCCACTGTATGAATACTACATTTTACTTATCTATATATCAGTTGGTGGACATTTGGGTTGTTTTCCACCTTTTGGCTAATGCAAATAGTATTCAGTGGGCATTCATGCACAAGTTTTTGGGGTTTTTTGAACACCAGTTTTCAATTCTTTTGAGTGTATACCTTGGAGTGGGATTGTTGGGTCATATGGTAATTTTATGTTCACCGTGTTGAGGTACCAACAAACTGTTTCCAACAGCTTCTTTTTTCTATTCCCAGCAGAAATGTAAGAGGGTTCAAACTTCTCCATATTCTTACCAACACTTGTTATTTTCATTTATTTTTTTATTGTAGCCATCGAACTGGGTGTGAAGTAGAATCTCATCATAGTTTTGATGTACATTTTCCTGATGGCTGATGATATTGAGCACCTTTTCCTGTGCCAATTGGCCATTTGTGAATCTTTGATGAAGTATCTGTTAAGACCTTTGTCCATTTTTTAATTAGGTTATTTTTCTGTTATTACTGAGTTTAAGGTTTCTTTATTCTAGATACAATTTCCTTATTAGATATATGATTGGGAAATATTTTCTCCCAATCTGTAGATTGTCTTTTTATTTATTTATTTATTAAAAAATTTTTATTTTTAAATCATGTTTATTATAGTTGTCTCAATTTTTCCCTCTTTGCCCTCCCCACCCATCTCACCCCGCCCCCCTCTCCCACAGTCAGTTCCCACACTGTTGTCCATGCCCATGGGTCAATCCCATGTTCTCTTTTTAGTTCCTTTTCCTTCTTTCCACCATTGTCCTCCATCCCCTTTCCCTTCCTCTCTGGTCGCTTTCAGTCTGCTCCATGTTTCCTTGCTTGTGGTTTATCTTGTTCGTTAGTTTATTTTATTGAATAGATTCCACTTACAGGTGAAATCATATGGTATTAGTCTTTCACTGACTGGCTTATTTCACTTAGCATAATATTCTTCAGTTCCATCCATGTTGTTGCAAAAGGTAGGAGTTCCTTCTCTCTTTATTTTTTTAATGCAGATTGATTTTATCTATTTATTTTTAATGTCAAGATCCTTTATAAAATATTAAAAAATTTAAATCCCTTATAAAGTTTAAGCAATAAAAACAACATAAAACCAGCACAGAAATAATGAAGTAGGTCAAAGAAATAAAATGAGCATTCTGGAAACAAATGTATATATCTTAACAATGTAATATATGATTAAGTTGATATTTCAAATAAATGGGGAAAATAAGGCTTATTTAACAAATAAGGTGTGTGGACCACTGTTACTTGAAATAAAACAAATAGCCCTATTTCACACATTATACAAAAAATATTCAGGTGAGTTAAAAATCATATGTAAATTCTAAGGAGTTTTAGGAGAAAATACAAAATAATATTTTTCTTACTCTGAAGTAACATATTCAAACCCAGAAGCTATAAAGTAAGATACTGACAATATGACCATATTATATTTAAGACTGTATAGTAATATACATATTAAAAAAAGTTAAAGAACAGTGATAGAATAGGAAAGTATTGGCAACACATCTAAAAAAGGGTTAAAGCTTTGTGTTTTGTTTTTTTTTTAGGAAAATAATTCTATAAACACTCAAAAAATGGATAAAGAATACCAGAAAGTCAGCTAAAGCTTTTTTAAAAATAATAAATATAGGCAAGAAATACACAAAAACAGGTTTAGTTTCAACCAATAATAAAAGTAACACTTCAAATAACACATCATTGTCACAATCAGATTAAGTATTAAAAATATTGGTAATGTCAAGTATTGGTGACCGTGAAAGGAACTGGGTATTCACAGACTCTTTTTCTTCATCCTCTTAAAGAGGTCCCTTTTGCATATCTTGCTATGCTGGTTTGGTTGTAGCCTTCTTTTGTCTGGGAAACTCCTTATTTCGCCTTCCATTTTAATTGAGAGCCTTGCTAGGTTGAGCAGTCTTGGTTGCAGGCCTTTGCTTTTTGAGAAATCAGCTGCTAGCCGTATGGGGGCTCCCTTATAGGTTACTTACACATTTCTCCCTCACTTCCTTTAGGATTCTCTGTTTGTCTTTGATATTTGCCATTTTAACGATGATGTGTCTTGGAGTGGGCCTCATTGGGTTCCTCTCGAATGGGACTTTCTGTGCTTCCTGGACTTGCGTGACTTTTTCTCCCCTCCAATTAGGGAAGTTTTCCATCGTGACTTTTTCAAACAGGTTCTCTATCCCTTCCTCCTTCTCTTCACCTTCTGGTATCCCTGTTATACGGATATGATTCTGTTTCAGGTCATCCTGCGTTTCCCTATGCGCCTCTTCAATCTTTTTGAGTCTTTTTTCATTTTCTTGCTCTTTCTGGGAGCTTTTTTCTACCTTGTCCTCCAGCTCGCTGATTCGATCCTCTGCTTTATCTAGCCTTCTTTGGATTCCTTCTACTGTGTTCTTCAATTTAGAAATTGTACTCTTCATTTCCTCTTGTCTCTTACTGGTAGTTTCCATGTCCTTTTTCATGCTGATATAGTTTGCAGTAAGTTCCTCATAGTTTCCCTGGAGTATTTTGTAGTTCTCTCTGAGCTCACTGAGCTCATTGAGTATCCTTAGAACTTAGAACCATTGTTTCGAACTCAGTATCTGATAGTTTACTGGCCTCTTTCATTTAGTTCTGTTTCTGAGGATTCCTCCTTTGCCTTTGACTGGGGGGTGTTTCATTGTCTTCCCATTACTTGTGAGACTCTTCTTTTTTGCTTCTGCTTCTTAAATTGATCTGTCTTGATTTCCGGACTTTGTGGTGTGAACTTCCATGGTAGGAGACCGCTGTTCTTTCTTTCTGGATCTGCCTCTGATGATGTCAGATGTTGACCCTGTCTGACCTTAAGCAGTCTGTTTGAGACTTTCAGGAATCTACCCTCTGTGTCTGTCTCCTTCAGTTGTTAATATAGTCACTCTGCACTCAGTAGGCCAGCTTAGAGACACCACAGGGCGGTGCAGATCCCTCCTGGGGGCGGGGTTATTGGGTCCTCTCATGCTGCTGCCACTCAGAGGTTGGTCTTCCTGAGCCAGGTGGCTGCTGCTGAATAGGGGAGGGATCAGCACTGGGATCCCGTCTGATACTCTCTCTGTTTTCTCCCAAAAGCCTTTGTCTCCACTCTCTCCTCAAGTGTCTCTAGACCGCTCTGCACCCCCGTTAGCCAGGGATCTACTATCTGGGGCTACTATCTGTATTCAGCAGGGCTGAGTCCCTCCTGGGGGCAGGACTATTGTGTCCTCTCACTTTGTTGCCACTCAGGGGAGTGGTCTGCCTGAGCAAGATGAGTGCTGCTGCATGGGGAATGAGTCAGCACCAGGATCCTTCCGACTCTTCTCTCAATTCTCTCTCTAGTCTCTCCTCAGACATCTCTAGCCCACTCTGCCCCTTCCTTTGCCAGAGACCAGGGTAAATGGCTGCAAATAAAAATATGCATTGGCCCCTTAAACGACTCTTTTGTGTCTCTAGTGCCTGTCTCTGGCAGAGAGCAACCCTGCCGTTTTTTGCAGCTGGCTGTTAATGTGTACTTTTTGGGCTCTGGTGGTGTAGGCTGGAGATCCCTGCTTATGGTTTAGACCCTGCTCTTCTCAGGGGGACCCAATTGGCCGTTCCATTATTCTTCAGGTGCTGCTCTGCATGGGCACCCCGCCCTCCTTCTCGGGTCTCTACCACACTCCTTACCAGTTAGGTTGTACTAAAGCTGATTCTTCTGTCTGTCCGAGGTTATAAGGCTCCTCTCTCACTGTTGTTCAGTTGTTTGTTCCAGTTGATTTATCCACCTTTAGTTGTAATTCTCGGTTGGTCCAATGAGGAGGTCAGTGTGACCTCCACTCACTCCTCTGCCATTTTAAAGAGTTTATTCATTTTTTTAGAGAGAGGGGAAGGAAGGGAAAGAGGGAAAGAAACACTGATCAGTTGCTCCTCACACACCCCCAGCCAGGGACCTGGCGCACAATCCTGGCATGTGCACTGATCAGGACTTGAACCTGAGACCCTCCAGTTCATAGGCTGATGCTCAACCCACTGAGCCACACCAGCCAGGGCTGTATTGTCTTTTTACTTTATTTATTTATTGGTTGATTTTAGAGAGATAGAGGAAGAGAGAGAAACATTAATTTGTTGTTCCACTTATTTATGTGTTTATTGGTTGCTTCTTGTATTTGCCCTGAGTGGAGATTGAACCTGCAACCTTGGCTTATTGGGATGATGCTCTAACCAACTGTGCTACCTGGCTAGGGCCTTACTTTCTTGATAGTATCCTTTGGTGCACAAAAGTTACAATTTGATGACGTTCAATTTATAATTTCTTTTATTGCTTGTGTATTTGGTGTTATATCTGAGAAATCACTGCCAAATCCAAGGTTATCCTGTGTTTTCTTCTAAGACTTTTAAATGGAATTTTTTGACTGTGTATTTTTAATTATATCACAATATTTTTGTTCTTATTATGAACTTTTTTACTAGATTAATTTACGTAACACTGGTTAAATGTTTCTGTTATTTGGCCTTTTTGGTTTTTCTTTTACTAGCTTAGCTCTTGCCATGCAGTACTCTCGACACAGCTTGCTGATGCCATGATGTTCCCCATTACCCAGTTTAAAGAAAGAGATCTGAAAGGTACTAAATCAAGCTCTGTTTACTTTCATAGTTGTCAGAACATCAATGCCTGTAAAATACATATTACTTTATATCTTAACCATTTCTGAATACAGTTTGTGCCACTTTTACTTAAATTAGTTACTAAACATTTATAGGAGCTCCTTCAAGACATTTAACTAGATCCCAAGGAATACCAATATGAATAAGATGTCAATTCACTTGAGAAAGCCTAGAGAAGGATATAGGTTGGTTAAACAGATAATTACCATATACTGTCTCAATTAGGGAACGAGCAAGGTGTTGTGAGGTATCAGAGGATGGTGTCAGAAAGGCTTCATCAAGGGTGTGATGTGAGCATTGAACAATGAAAAGGAGTTTGCCAGGAGAAAAGAGTCATTATTTTACTAGAGGGACTAGGAAGCATAAAAGTATGGATTGTAGAAATACATGGTTTGTTTTGAGAATGACAAGAAATTCAGTGTGGCTGCAATGTTGAACGTATTGGGTATGGCAGGAGACAAATCTAGAAATAGATTAGTTGGGACTAGATTATGCTGAAGATGTTTGACTTGAGTTTATAAGCAAAGAGAAGCTAATGGAGGTCTTTAAGAAGTAGAAAGACATCCTTTTTTTGGAGGATGGAATAGAGTGGATTTGATGTCTAGGAGAATGGATTAGGAAGTTGTGAGAGTCCAGTGAGGTGTGACAAAGGCCTGAACTGAGACAGTGACAAAGGAGATGTAGACATGTTTTTGGGCTAGAATGGCAGGAGGTAAGAGTACTGGCACATCCAGCAACCCATGACTTAGTTGTTTGTGGTGGGTTTTTTCCCCCCATTTAGCATTATTCAGTGATGAAATGAGAGTTTTACAGAATTGGCTCTGTTTTCCCATGTCACAGTCTTAGAAAATTATACAGACTTATTTATAAAATATGTAAATAGAATAAAACATTGAACTAATGTTACCAGTGGATGGTAAAGTATTTAAATTGTAATGGAATAAAAACAAGTGTATTTTAGAGATGGAGTTTTATTTGTGGTGGTAATCCTCAAGAATGGTCATTTCAAGGTCAAGAAACAAGATCTCTTCTCAATCTATAGGGACTGAATGTCATAATCTTACTATTAAAATGTTCTTTGCTTCTCATTTAGCATTTGAACTTATTCGCGTCGATATCAAAAAATGAATTAATTTATATTCTGGTACTAAGGATATTTGTATATCTTAGGATTTGCAGTGGTTTAAAATTTTTTTTTTGTGCCACATTACTAATTGTGGCAAGTAGATTTTCTCAAGGTGTTACTGTTTCTAATGATAGTAAATGTTCCATTGACTAGCTGAAATACAGAATAGTGTTTTCACTTTGCATGTTGAGGTATGAAATGTTTTTTGGAGTTTTTATAGCTTAAATGACAATTACTGTTTTCTAAACAGAATTTAAGATATTTCATAAATATGCTACACTGAAATTATTCTTGAACTTTTCCAGAAATATTGACATTAAAGGAAGTGTTTCAGATTGCAAGTAATGGTAAGCTCCTAATACTTTACACAGTTATTTCTTTTAATAATGCGTTTTTTAAAAAATTAACACAGATCTGTGGCCAGATTCCATGCAATAGTTGAAAAAAAATGAACCCAATTAAAAGTTTAAATGAACATTATTTAAGTCAGCATTGTTATTTAAGTTGCATTGTTTAGACTACAGAAAAATTTAAAGGAAAATTAAATCATATCTTGTGATTTTTCTATGTTCATAATACCTAAAGAGATGATACAATATTTTCCCTGCCTTGTTTTCCTATATATTCCAAGTTTTCTTTAATGAGCATGTGCTATTTTTATACTAAAAACACTTCTCTATACTTTTAGTAAATTACAGTTTCCTTTGAATTAAATGTTACTAGCAATTTAATAAGTAGACACATGCTTTAGGGGAAATTTGGATAGGGGAACATTTAGCTGGATTAATCATATGGCAAGGAATTCTTACCTTGCTTTAGTACATTTTTTAAAAGCTCTACATATGAAGACCATTTAAAGCATTTATAAATTTTGCAAAGTCCTGTTTTATTGTTGTTAATAATCATTTCTGTTTTCCAGATCACGATGCTGCAATTAACAGATATAGCCGATTGTCAAAAAAAAGAGAAAATGACAAGGTATGATACATACTTAACTCCTTCAGTATGGCAATTAACAACTATTTCATTAGCTGGTCTAGTTTTTCCTGTTTAAAAACAGTAGCCAGCATTTATTTTGTATGTTTTGCTGTATTTCCTGTAGTTTATCTTTTTTAATTTATACTTACTAATTTTAGAGAGAGAAGAAGCGAGGAGAGACAGAAAGAGAGAGAGAGAGAGAATTTGTTGTTCCATTTATTTATGCATGCATTGGTTATTTCTTGTCTGTGCTCTGAGCAGAGATGGAACCCTCAGCCTTGGCATATCAGGATGACTCTTTCACCAGCGGAGCTACCTGGCCAGGACTCCCCTTAGTTTAGTCTTTTTTCCTAATTATTTCAAAGCTTTTTTGATAATTGTTAATTATCAAACAATTCGTGATTGACTCTTTTAAACAAAATACTTTTCTGCTGACAAAATTTTATGAGTAAACATAACTATTTCAAAAAATAATTGATGTCCAATATATAACATTGTCTCCTTTTGCTTTATATTTTGATAACATTGCATTTGTTCTGTTATTTGACCCCGTATGTATTCAGAAGTGTCTTCTGAGATACAGTAGTTATGCATACATAATTCAGTGAAATTCTGTTATGAGGACCTTCCAATTTACAGGGGAAAAATACAGAAATTTTTTTATTCTTCTTCAGGGAGTCAAATCCAGAAATATTACACTATATTTGAGGACAAATGCATTTGAGTAAAGAACAAATAGCAATATTAACAAGTTCATTTAGATGCTCCTTAAGGCCATTTCTCTCTCAGTGCCTAATTCAAGGCTTGCTGAGTAGGCCACCACTAGATGCCTGTGTGTGAGGTGATCTCTGTGCCTGGGAGTTGGTGTCTGTAGTCTTGGTTGCAGGTATGGATAGGCACACAGTGACCACGTGTGGGAATCTGTGCTTGGGTAGGATTTACTGTGCAGCAGCTATTGTGACATAATAAAGGGAACATTTCTCACATGAAGTTCAGTTCAAAGATCTGCTTTTCATTTCTAATTTTAGTCCACTGATTACTTGATGGTATAAATATTAATAAATATATTTTGAGATCTGTATTACTTTGTTACTTTGCTTTAGAGAAGTAGTTAAAAGCTCTAGGTATGAATTTTGGTATATTAATAAGTATTTTTAAAAACATCTTTCACCAATTTCATTCCATTTAAAAATTTAATTGAGCCCTAGCTGGTGTGGCTCAGTGGATTGAGTGCTGGCCTGCAAACCAGAGTTGCCGGTTCGATTCTCAGTCAGGGTACATGCCTGGGTTGTGGGCCAGGTCCCCAGTAGGGAGCACACAAGAGGAAACCTCACGTTGATGTTTTTCTCCCTCTCTTTCTCCTCCCTTCCTCTCTGTCTAAAAAAATAAATAAAATCTTTCAAAGATAATAAATAAGTAAAAACATAATTGAGCCTTGGCCAGTATGGCTTAATTGGTTGGAGTGTTGCCTGTGCACCAAAAGGTTGGAAATTTGATTCCTGGTCAGGACACATACTAGGTTGCAGATTTGATCTCTGGTGGGGCATGTTTGGGAGACAACAAATCAATGTTTCTTTCACATCTATGTTTTTTTCTCTCTCTCCCTTCCTCACTCTCTAATATCAATAAACATATTAAAAAATTTTTTAAAATTAATTAAACATCTACTGTATGTTGGCAACCATGGAGAAACAATGTGAATAGGCTCCACTCCTGCCCTCAAGGAGTGGGTAAACCACATTTCTCGAAGACTTCCTGTGTGAAAGCATACAACTGGACTAGATGCCAGAGTAGAAGGATGAAGAGAATGCTTGTATCCTGAATTAAGTGTAGTAATGGAATACCTAACAAAGTGCTGGGAGAGCACAGAAAGTGCAGCAGTCAACTTTGGTGAACTGGGAAAGCTTACACTTGTAGGAGGAGATATTTGCATTAAGATAAGTGGACTTCTCAGGTTTGGGACTGGGGAGAGGGCATTCCTGGAGAACAAATAGCTTTTGTAGAAGTAAGCGGTAGAGTCTGAAGAGTGTTAAGGTTTAAGAGCACTGGATTGCTTGGGGACAAATCTCACCTCTGTCACATGTTTGCTGAGGTCATACACTGGTTAGTTTCAAGCCTTTGTTTCTCTATCAAACAAACAAATTCCTTGATTAAGATGAAAAGAGATAATGCCTGCAGAGTACCTGGCTTATAGCAAGTTTTCATTAAACTCTAGCAATAATTATGATAATGGAAAGATAATCTTTGCAGTGTGTTGGGAGCATAGGACGTATTTGGGTAGGTATTGCAGAGATGACAAGCAAGTAGTGGTTTGGGGCCAGATTACTATGTTAATGACTTTGAAATTTGTGTTAGAGGGTGTTGGCAGCCACCAAAGGACTCTAAGTGGGTGAATAACTATGCAGTTGTCCTACAGATAAAATACTAAATGGGAATGTGAAGGGGACCACTGGAGGGAATCCAATGAAAAGTTACCAGAATAGTTTACAAAGACATTAGGAGAGTTTCAGCTAAGGTTGTTATTGAAAGTGGAGAGGAAGGAATACTATTGGAAGGTATTTCATAAGTAGAATTGATAGGACTTATGTTAGGAGGAGGAATCAAAAATAAGTCCCAGACAAATACCATATGATTTTATTCATGTGGAATCTAATGAACAAGTGGAACTAACAATCAAAATAGAGACAGACTCTGGGGGAGGGTTAGGGGTGGAGGGATCAAACAAAAAAGAAACAACTAATAGACATGTACAGCAGTGCTGGTGACTGGGAGGAAGATGGGTCGGGGGAGGTGGAAGAGGGTATATGAGGGAGAAATTGTAATGAAAAAATACAATAAAAAAAAACTACTTAAAAAAGTCCTAGAATTCTCAGATGATAGGATGGATTTTGGAATCATTAAGAAAGCTGAAAAACAAAAGAGAGGAGCAGATTTTGTGGGGAAGATGCTGTCTTTAGTTTTGTATATTTCCAGCACATCCTCCTGCCGCATACATACATACATAAAGAGCCCAGGTAGATATGTGCTTCCTTTGACACTTGTGAGAGTGATGGGCAGGAGATAAAAATTTCCAAGTCATTGGTGTATGGAATATTTTTTGTATTTAGTATTTTACATTCTGAAGCAAAGAAGAAGAGGGAAGAGCCTGTTACATATTACATAATAGGTGCTCAGTAAATATTTGTTGTCTGAATACAAGAACTTAAGGCAGCACACATTTTAAGTATGGGTGAAGGAAAACAAGCAAGTATAAGAGAGGAGGAACAGTAGGAAGGAACCAGCAGCAGACAGTGGTATGCTGTGAACTGACAAAGTAAAAGACTAATGGCTAAGCTAATACCAAACAAGTCTGTCCTTCCTCTGGGTGGTAGACTTTCTCTGCGATGCTTAGTTTATTATTGTACTATTCTTAGTTATATGCAGAATTCTGCTTTTAATGTATTTTAAAATTAAGTGGTTGGTAGTAAAACAAAAAAACTATCTTAGCCAATATTTTGCAGGATTTCAAATACCTAAGAAAATAGAAACCTATGCACAATTGCTGGTGATATACCTCTTTCCTTGTGTGGGCTCTTCTTAACAGCCGCTACTTCAAAATGAAATAAATAATAGTATTTTTAATATTTCACTTAAAGGTGAAGTATGAAGTAACAGAAGATGTCTACACTTCCAGAAAAAAACAACACCAAACCATGATGCATTATTTTTGTGCATTAAATACTCTTCAGTACAAGAAGAAAATAGCATTGTTAGAACCTCTACTTGGGTACATGCAAGCTCAGGTGAATGCCACACTGTGTTTTGGATTATAACTGCCCTAAAATCTTTATATTAAAGTATGATATTTGTGTTAAATATAAAGAGATTGTATTACAAACTAAGATCAAAATACAATTTTGTGCCTGTATTTTAAGAAGTAATTTAAAATGTCATCAGAATGTTATTTTGAGGAAATTAGGGAAAATGGTTTTCTTTGTAGATGATTTCAGATATTTTATGGTAAATGAAACCATTTATCTTGTATTTAGATCTTGTCCATCACTGTTGGGGACAGGGAACATAAAGCTAAATGAATGGTGAAATTAACCTGTTGCTAGAGCTTCTACTCACTCTTGCTTCATAATAGATTCAATAGAGAAGTTCGAATTTGTGTTATGTTGCTTGTATACTTCCTGAGTTAAAAATACTGATGAACTCCAAAGTGTCCCAAGAGGTGTACAACTGTAAGGGGGCTGGAAAATTAAATTTGCAAAATATGAGATGGCAGTCCCCTAAAAATGAGAGTTTAAAGAGATTTGAATATTCCATCAAGTATGACTACTATTATTCCTCAGATATAAAACTTTTAGTGTTAAACATGCAATAGGCCCTGGCTGGGATGGCTCAGTGGATTGAGCATGGGCCTGCAAACCAAAGGATTGCCAGTTCAATTCCCAGTCAGGGCACATATCTGGGTTGTGGTCCAGGTCCCCAGTAGGGGGCTCTCGAGACACAACCACACATTGATGTTTCTCTCCCTCTCTTTCTTCCCCCTTCCCCTCTCTCTAAAACTAGATAAAATATTAAAAAAAAAACAAAAACATGAAATAGTTTATCCATGTGATTTACTTGAAATGGTTTAAGATTTATTTTCCAGTTAAAAAAAATTGCTTACCATATGCGTGTATTAATATATAAAAGGACGTACAGAAAAGTTTAACTTCAGTTTCTTTAGTGGCCTCATGCCCAGAAGAAATCATTATAAACTGCAACCTATTTTTACACAGATGGAAATACTCCTTTGTTTTTTTACTTATCCATGTGTCTTGGACTTTGTTATATGATTCACTTAAAGTACTTTGTGTATGTCATTGTTTCTGTGTCCAACCTCCCACTCTCATACCCTCTTGCCTCAGATAAGTTTCTTTAAGATGGGTTCTGAAAACCTCAATGAACAACTGGAAGAATTCTTAACTAATATTGGAACAAGTGTACAAAAGTAAGTATTTTCTTCCTTAAAATTAAAAATGAAGTTATGTGAATGATAAATTAACAGCTAATTGTCATAATCTAAAAATATTTACTATTTAATTTTCTGAGGGGCTGTTTTCCCTGCCATGGGAGTGTTTCTCACATGTCTCATGACACTTCTTGTTTTTTTCAAATATCTTTTCCACAGAATCTGAACTCTGAATTTCATAACACTCAAATCTGATCGTATTTTATTGATTCTAAACTAGGTTTTATGTGTTACTATAACAGATACATCATAATAATAATTTATGTTAATTAACATCATGATTACAATTTTGGGGGATAGATGGGAGATTACTAAATAAATCTTGTTTTCCAAGCCTTGAAAGCTTAGAGAGAGAAAGCAGTTCTAATGAGGTTCAAAACTCTGAGCAGTGGTGTTCAATCTGAGATACAGGGTGAGATGAAAATGATTGTTGTTTTAAAGGCACAGAATAGTTTGAAACTTTCTCTAAAGTCAAGCATTGAATGTGGCTTCATAGATTTTGAATTTAGTATTGTTTCCAAAATATCTAAGTTTTAAATAAAATGTAAAGCTATTTTATGGCATGTTCTTGTTACTTTAACCACTGTTTGCTCTTTAAGAAAATGTATACAACAAATAACAGATAAACATGAATGGTAAGGAGTCCTTCATCTGTTGTGGTTGGTTAGTAAATAACCTGTTCTCTGTGTTAGTGTTCGCAGGGAAATGGACAGTGATGTAGAGACCATGCAGCAGACAATAGAGGATTTGGAAGTAGCCAGTGACCCTTTATATGTGCCTGACCCAGATCCAATGAAATTTCCTGTTAATCGAAATTTAACCCGAAAGGCTGGATACCTTAATGCGAGGAAGTAAGAAAGCTGTTGTTATTTTCATATATTGTATATCATTTAAGGTATTGGCAAGGGAATATAATATATAATTGATACTGTCTGACAAATTGTTTTGTTTTTACTAAAGGTTGAATCTTTTTAGTTAATGATAATAGTATTTATGTGAACTTTTTGACTTATTGAGTACATGAATAATTTTCAAAAGTAACAAATCGTTTAGATATTTGTTGAATAATTTAGAATTTTTTTAAAAAGTGAAATCAATTTGAGTTTAAATAAATCTGGCTTAACATGAATGCTATTAAATGTTATTTAACATACTTTAATATATGTAATTACACCGTCAAGTCAGATTTTAGTTTTCACCTGAAGATAGGATAAAGCATGTTAACCGTAGGAGTAAATTAAATTCTTTCGTTTTGAATTTACATCCTTGAAAAGTTGAACTATATTTTATGCAGCATCATTATAACAGTTGCAATTTGATAATTTCCAGACTTGTTTTAGAAATATACACACACACACATAGTCAGCATATGTGAATTTATTTTAGAGATGAAAAGATGATATTTATATTTTCTAGACACCTTGGCGCCTTTTGCAAGCTGGTTCTTTGTGATGTGCTTTATCTTGTGTTGGGCTTATAATGAAATTTCTTGTGGGTTATTAAAGAGTGAATGCACTTTTCTTCATTTAGTAAAACAGGTTTGGTGTCATCTACCTGGGACAGACAGTTTTACTTCACTCAGGGTGGAAATCTAATGAGTCAGGCCCGTGGGGATGTAGCAGGAGGCTTGGCCATGGACATAGACAACTGTTCAGTAATGGCTGTGGACTGTGAAGACAGGCGGTACTGTTTTCAGATCACCTCTTTTGATGGAAAAAAGTAAGTATTTTTCCTAATATTAATAAAGTCTGTAATATTTTAAGCTACTGAAATACAGGATAATTTCTATTCATTCATTTTATAGATATTTTAGGCTTATTATTTATCAAGATAATTTTCTTGTAGATGTGAGTTGAACTTTCTGGCCTGGTTAAATGATGTCTTAATATTTTAAAGTTATCAAAGTGAGGTCATTTGGTAAAGACCTGTGATTTCATGTTGAGACTGGTCACTGAAAATCCTGCAGAGTGTGCAGAAGGCAACGTAAGTTAGCGCAAAGAGCCCCAACCTTAGGGTCAGGAAGTTCACATTCTGGACCCATTACTTACTGTGTGGTCTCAGATAAGTTACATAACTTCTGAGCTCCATCTTTGTACACGTAAAATTGAGAGGGAGGTCATAATCCCTACTTTGTAAATGGTTAAGGAAAAATCAAAAGCTGCCATATATAATGTGCCTCACAAGTACAAATACTAGGTGCTAACAGTAATGTTATTTTTAGGTGTTAATCAAATATTTCTGATCAAATTATTTAGTCCATTAATTTTTTTTATATATTCAAGTAAATCAGTGAAATAAAATGAGCATTCTAGAAAAAAACATATGTATCTAACATCGTAATATATGATAAAATTGATATTTCAAATCAATGGGGAATAAGGCTTATCCAACAAATAAGGTACATGGACCTCTGTTACTTGAAATAAAACAAATAGCCCTATTTCACACATTATACAAAAAATTTTCAGGTCAGTTAAAAATCAATATGTAAAATCTAAGGAGTTTTAAGAGAAAATATAAAATAATATTTTTCTTGCCTGGAGAAAAATATTCAAATCTAGAAGCTATAAAGTAAAATATTAACATGACTCTATTAAACATTTAAGACTATACAGTAATATAAAAAAAGGTAAAGGACAAGGAAAAAATAGGAAAGTATTTGCAACACATCTAAAACATGGTTAATAGTTTTTTTAACAGAAAATATTCTATATTTAATCAAAAAATGGATGAAGAATACCAAAAAGTCATTTAAAGCCTTTTTAAAAATAATAAATATAGGCAAGAAATACACAAAAACAGGTTTAGTTTCAACCAATAATAAAGTAACACTTCAAATAACACATCATTGTCACAATCAGATTAAGTATTAAAAATATTGGTAATGTCAAGTATTGGTGACCGTGAAAGGAACTGGGTATTCACAGACTCTTTCTTCATCTTCTTAAAGCAGTCCCTTTTGCATATCTTGCTATGCTGGTTTGGTTGTAGCCTTCTTTTGTCTGGGAAACTCCTTATTTCGCCTTCCATTTTAATTGAGAGCCTTGCTAGGTTGAGCAGTCTTGGTTGCAGGCCTTTGCTTTTTGAGAAATCAGCTGCTAGCCGTATGGGGGCTCCCTTATAGGTTACTTACACATTTCTCCCTCACTTCCTTTAGGATTCTCTGTTTGTCTTTGATATTTGCCATTTTAACGATGATGTGTCTTGGAGTGGGCCTCATTGGGTTCCTCTCGAATGGGACTTTCTGTGCTTCCTGGACTTGCGTGACTTTTTCTCCCCTCCAATTAGGGAAGTTTTCCATCGTGACTTTTTCAAACAGGTTCTCTATCCCTTCCTCCTTCTCTTCACCTTCTGGTATCCCTGTTATACGGATATGATTCTGTTTCAGGTCATCCTGCGTTTCCCTATGCGCCTCTTCAATCTTTTTGAGTCTTTTTTCATTTTCTTGCTCTTTCTGGGAGCTTTTTTCTACCTTGTCCTCCAGCTCGCTGATTCGATCCTCTGCTTTATCTAGCCTTCTTTGGATTCCTTCTACTGTGTTCTTCAATTTAGAAATTGTACTCTTCATTTCCTCTTGTCTCTTACTGGTAGTTTCTATGTCCTTTTTCATGCTGATATAGTTTGCAGTAAGTTCCCCATAGTTTCCCTGGAGTATTTTGTAGTTCTCTCTGAGCTCACTGAGCTCATTGAGTATCCTTAGAACTTAGAACCATTGTTTCGAACTCAGTATCTGATAGTTTACTGGCCTCTTTCATTTAGTTCTGTTTCTGAGGATTCCTCCTTTGCCTTTGACTGGGGGGTGTTTCATTGTCTTCCCATTACTTGTGAGACTCTTCTTTTTTGCTTCTGCTTCTTAAATTGATCTGTCTTGATTTCCGGACTTTGTGGTGTGAACTTCCATGGTAGGAGACCGCTGTTCTTTCTTTCTGGATCTGCCTCTGATGATGTCAGATGTTGACCCTGTCTGACCTTAAGCAGTCTGTTTGAGACTTTCAGGAATCTACCCTCTGTGTCTGTCTCCTTCAGTTGTTAATATAGTCACTCTGCACTCAGTAGGCCAGCTTAGAGACACCACAGGGCGGTGCAGATCCCTCCTGGGGGCGGGGTTATTGGGTCCTCTCATGCTGCTGCCACTCAGAGGTTGGTCTTCCTGAGCCAGGTGGCTGCTGCTGAATAGGGGAGGGATCAGCACTGGGATCCCGTCTGATACTCTCTCTGTTTTCTCCCAAAAGCCTTTGTCTCCACTCTCTCCTCAAGTGTCTCTAGACCGCTCTGCGCCCCCGTTAGCCAGGGGTCTACTATCTGGGGCTGCCACTCTCTTCTGCAGTCAGGCCAAGTACCACCGGGCCAGGGCAGAGTCCCTCTTGGGGGTGGGGCTGCTGTGTCCTCTCATGCTATGGACGCTCAGGGGAGTGGTCTGCCTGAGCAAGATGGCTACTGCTGCATGGAAGATGAGTCAGTACCGGGATCCCAGCCGACCACTCCCTCGGTTCTCTCCCCAAAGCCTCCTTCCCCAGTCTCTCCTCAGATATCTCTAGCCCACTCTTCCCCTTCCTTTGCCGAAGACCAGGGTAAGTAGCTGCAAATAAAAATTTATGTGTTGGCCCTTTAAACGGCTCTTTGTGTCTCCATCCTCCTGTCTCTTGGCAGAGAGCAACTCTGCTGCTTTTTGCTGCTGGCTGTTATTTGTGTACTTTTTGGGCTCTGGTGTTGTAGGCTGGAGATCCCCACTTATGGTTTAGGCTCCACTCTTCTCAGGGGGATCTAACTGGCCATTTCAATATCCTTCCGGTGCTGCTGTCCATGGGTGCCCTGCCTATCTTCTTAAGTCTCTACCACACTCCTTACCCGTTAGGTTGTGCTAAAGCTGACTCTTCTGTGTGTCCGAGGTTATAGGGCTCCTCTCACGCTATTGTTCAGTTGTTTGTACCACGTGATTTTTCCACAATTTAGTTGTAATTCCAGGTTGGTCCAGTGAGGAGGTCAGTGTGACTTCCATTCACACCTCTGCCATGTGGATTCTCCCTTAGTCCATTAATGTTTATATTCTGTTTAAAAAATTTTCTATTATCTTTGCATTAAATGAGAATCCTTAGAACAAATTTTCGAAAAGCACAGAAAAACATACAAAAGAATATGAAAAAAAAGTTATAATCTCTCTAACCAGAGCCACACTGAACTTTTTGGTCTGTTGCCTATCGTTTTAATTACACTTTTTAAATAGTTGAGGAAATACTGTATATGTAATTTGGATCTGCATTCACTTATTAAAAACATAATGGCTACATTATATTCCACTTAAGGATGTACATCATGATTTAACATTTTTCCTGCCCTGGCTGGTATGTCCACTGAATTAAGCACTGACCTGTGAACTGAAAGGCTGCAAGTTTGTTTTACTGTCAGGGCACATGCCTGGGTTGTGGGCCAGGTCTTCAGCTGGGAGCATGTGAGAGGCAACTGACTAATGTTTCTCTCCTTCAATTCCTCCCGTTCCCTCTCTCTGAAAATAAATAAATAAAATCTTAAAATATTTTTTTTCTAATGAGGTTTTAGTTACCTGCAAATTTTTCCTACTTAATTGAAATACTGTTTCTTTTTTCTTTTTTCCTTCTGATTCCCTTTTTTTAAAAAATTTTATTTTAATTTATTTTTTCAAATACATTTGTCTCTGCCTACCCCCCACCACTTTCCCTTGCCCTCTTCCTCCTTCCCTCCCTCAGCTCTTCCCCTTTGGTTTTGCCCATGAGTCCTTGCTATATGTTCCTTGACTTTCCCCTTCCCTTCCTTTTCCCCGCCCCCGCTTCCTCCTTCCCTCTTGATCTTTCCCTTTGATCTTTCTTTTTGTTCAGAGCATCTCGAGGTTCCCTGAAAGTCATTTTCCCCTCTTTTTATATACATCAAGATGTTACCTTTTTGTCAAAACGGTTGTTTAATTTCATATTCCTTATACAAACATAGTGAATGCCAATTACTGTGTATCAGTTATCATGCTAGATGTTGGGAGTCCCTGTATTCATTTGTCAAAATTATCAAAATGTTAATACTTTACTATAAGTTCTTACCTTGTATTTTTTATTTTCAATTTTTTGCCAGTGCTTAGCATCATTTTCTATTTTATTTAGAAATAAAAAATGATTTGATTCAAGATTAGTAAATAATTTTTTCTCTAAACTCTTAAAACATGACCCTCTAACTTTAGAAAAGCTAAATATCCCTATGTTAGTAATTACTATGTTGAAAAATTTTGTTTAACTGTATTCAATGAGAAATAATAGTGAAGCAAAATTAGCGTTTTATATTAGGGTCAGCTCTTTATATTTGAAATATGTGTGTCGGAAGGTTGAAATGGATTGTCTTAGTTGCAGTGCACCTTTGTTATTGGCTGTCTTCTGAAAACCAGCACCTGTTTCTTTTTCAGTACATTTTGGCATAGATAGTCAAAGCCAAGAGTTGTTAAAATCGAAGTCCTAATGCCTCTGGTCATCTCCTTTTCCTAAGATACAACTGGTTATATGTTTTGGGTGTTTTGTTTTTTTTTTTAATATTGATTGGTTTTATATGTACCATTAAAGATAAAAAATTTTCTCAGATCATATTGAAAGTACTTTTTAAAAAGTTGAGGTTCAGGTTTTTTCTTTTTTTTCAGATCTTCAATTTTGCAAGCAGAGAGTAAAAAAGACCATGAAGAGGTAAAATTTTGTCTGGCTAATTTCTTCAGTAATATCTTAAGATATTTTTGCTGATGACAAAACATATTAATGTTTTCTTCATAGAAATTTGAAAAATTCTGGTTAATTAAAAATATCTTTTTTTATAAAAGGTTATTTTCCATAAACAACATTCTTAAATTTCAGAAAGAATTTTATAGTTGGACCTCTGAGGCCAGACCTTAGAGATTATTTCTCTCCTGTCTTTTTAAAGGATCTAATTCAGAAATGACCTTGTGACTGTTACTTTCTGGCAGGCTGTTAGTATCATGAGGTGACAGTTTATTTGCTTCTTTCACCTTCTGAGACAGTATTGGCTGCATTAAGAATATAGTGGCAGCAGATGCGGCATGGCAGGAAGCAACTAAAGCTTAAAACTTTAAGGAAATGAAAGACAGAAAAACAAAAATTTGGGAATGTCTTTTCTTCTTCTCGACTATTTTATTTTTGGCTCCATTTTTACTCATAGTACACCAAATATGGAAGGTAAGTTAGTACTAGGAACTGATGCATCAAAAACTTTGTCTTGAGAAATATCCTACAGTGAAAATACATTATAGGTTGATTGTGAGCCATTTTATCTGCCATTATAATTGTGTTGGTGAAAGAGAAGTTTACAGATTATATAGAGACTATATTTATTTGCTTCTTGTGAAAAAGAATGGATATTAAAACTTGGCTTTTGGACTCTGAAGAACACAGGCAAAAGCCTGCTCTCGCAGGGTTTACCAAACAGAAGAGTAGTTTAGTTTAGTGAGACTCATCAGGTACTAGAATTCTTAAGAGTGAAACAGATATGAAGCAGAGACAGTTTTCTATGTTAATTTTTTATAAACCCAAGAGAAATGAGGTATGTAAAATATATTCACCAGGAATATATTTAACTCCTAACTCATTTGCATTGGTGTTAATAATATCTGAGTTCAGACTGTGGTGTTTGGTAGAGATTAAGAGGGAAGTGATACAAAAAGATAAATATAGACCACTAAATTGTCATTTAACATAATTGCTATATTTTTTATTTCCCTTTATGAAATAAATTTGAGATACAATAATAAATCTGTTCAATGTTCTATTATACCCTCAATTATTTACATATATATGCTTATGTACAATATATGGGTAGGTATTTATCCTATAAAAAGATTATATGTTACTTCATCTAATGAAACTTGTTTTTCATTCAAATATTGAACATTCTCTTTTAGAAGAGAAGCATTGTAGAAAAAATATTAATCATAGTTTTGTTTTTTCCTCTTGCAGTGGATCTGTACGATAAACAACATATCTAAACAAATATATTTAAGTGAAAATCCAGAGGTAATATTTTTATTTTATTATATCCAGATATGGCTAAGTTAAATAAGTTTGTGGCTAATACAGCTTTTATTAATTAAGTCATAATTCTCAAGTTCTGTAATCTTTTAATTTGCCCTGGAATGCATAGCTTTAAAGTATCATGTGTTTAATGAATATGTGGTCTTCTTAGAACAATAGGAAGTCAAAGATACTGAGGTCAATCAACTAACAAATGTTTACTGGGCACTGACCCTGTGTAGTGCTGTGTTGAGCACAATGGAGAAGGAGAGAAGAAAATAAGCCAGGGCCTCTGTCCTCCAAGAGTCTATGTGTATGGAAGACAAAATTAAAACTTTAATATTTCATATAAAACAGTATACAGATCTGGCTGGTGTGGCTTAGTTGGTTGGAGCATTGTCCTGAGGGTTTGATTCCCAGTCAAGGCACATATCTAGGTTGCGGGTTCGATCCCCGGTCTGGGTGCGTGCAATACCCCCATTCCGGATCCATACAACCCCTGGTATGGGCACCAATCCCTAGTCTGGGTGCATACAGGAGGCAATCAATCAATGTCTGTCTCTCTCTTGCATAGATGTCTCCCTCTCCCTCTCTAAAACCAATGAAAAAAAAAATTCCTTGGATGAGGATTAAAAAAAAAACAGTATGTAATTGAAAACATATTGTGATAACCAAAGGCTTAAGATTTTAGAACATTAAGAGCTGAGGGACGGAATGAGGAAGGGGGCAAGGGAAAGTGGTGGGGGGGGAGGCAGAGACATGTATTTAAAAATAAAGAAAGAAAGAAAAAATCAGTGTGGACTTCAGTTTTAGAGAAAACTGGAGATGGTGGAAACCTCAGCTGGGTAGGATTTGTCCATGTTTTGAGGAAAAGAGAAGACATTGAAGATAAGAAAACAGAAACAAAGAACAAATTTTGATATGGTATGAATTGAGTCATATATTTGGTTTTGAAGGTTCTTGATGGAGAATAATGGAAAACTGAAATGTGCATACCAGTCACCTGGGGATCTCAAAATGCATTCAGTAGGACTGGGGTGAGGTGGCCTGAACTCTTAATTATGCCCGTTATACTTCGAGTAGCAAGGGTGTCAAACCAGATAAACTCAGCAGTGTAGACATAGTCATAGGTACACTCCAAACGTACAGGCAGAACACAGGGATGCAGAGTACTCTGGGAGGAATCAAATGGGTCCATACTGCAGTGTCGTTGGGAAAACACTTGGCTTATGACAGGAGCTGTCTTACTTCTGTCAGTCATGGTGGGCCCAGCTATGCTATGAACCTGGGCGCCTCCAAGGGCTGGATGGGTGTTAATGACTTCAGTTGAGGCAGAACAGGGCAAATTTCTCTAGAAAGTCCTCACTCTTTTAAGTCTTAAACTGTTGGTGTAATGGTTGATTAGATGAGAGTGTCTGGGGGCATGTAGGATTCCATTTTCATACGTCAGGCATGAACTGAGGGTCTGAACTGAGGAAAAAGAAGAAATAATGAATCATAGAAACAGGGAAAAAGAAATTGACTGGACTGATTAGTAACAGGACTAATGTAAGGAATGAAAGAGACATATTAAAGATGACTTCTGGGTTAAGCCCAAGTGAAGGAAACATTTTGGAAGAGTTCTGGTTTTTGTTTTTTTCTTAAATCATAATTGCTTTGAGGTGCCCCTCTAACACATGGTTTAGACACCTAGGAAAAAGTTTTGACTCAAAGAAACAAAATCTCAGATTTCCAAACTGTTAGTAATTTCTGATAGTTTTTTAATTATAATAATCTTATAAGTTTAAGAAATCAGTGCTCAGTGTAGAGAAGGCTTTTGCTTTTAGTAACTCGATCTCCTGCCAGTCTGGCTTTTCTTTCTGCTCTGTTATTTGAGCAACAAAAATTAAAATGTAAATTAGATGACTTGTTAATACCTGGGGAATACATAGAGAATACAGTGTTTGGACTTGAAAAATTCAGGCTTATTGTACTTTCCTATCAAAACTTAAGTTTTAAGTAATATTTTCCAAATTATCCAGAATTGTTTTATCTATATTAATGAGAAGAAATTTTGATCAGTTTGTGGCATTATCTTGGCATTTTTTGCTAACTATAAGACACAGAAATTTCAAAATATTTTGTGACCATATTTTCTAATCTAAATGCCATTTTATTTAGCCAATGTTTTATATAATAAGTTTACAAATATTTCTTATGGAAAACTTTCTTTCAAATTTTGGTCTGAAAATATCCATGATAATTTTATCAATAAGTATATAGATACGTCTGAGCATAAATATATTCTGGAAAATAATGAAAACTTCAGAAGCATAGTTATAAAATAGTTTTATATTTTGTGGCTCTTTTCTACTTCTAAATTACTTTTTTTTTTTTTAAGACTTTATTTACTTATTTCTAGAGGGAGGAGGAGAGGGAGAGAAACATCAGTGTGCCCTGGCTGATGTGGCTCAGTGGATTGAGTGCCGGCCTTTGAACCAAATGGTCGCCAGTTCGATTCCCAGTCAGGGAACATGCCTGAGTTGTGGGCTGGGTCTCCAGTAGAGGGTGCATGAGAAGCAACCACACATTGATGTTTCTGTCCCTCTCTTTCTCCTTCCCTTCTCCTCTAAAAATAAATAAAATCTTTAGAAAAGAAAAAAGAAACATTAACGTGTGGTTGCTTCTAATGTGTCCCCAACTGGGGACCTGGCCTGGAACCCAGGCATGTGCCCTGGCTGGGAAGTGAACCCATGACCCTTTGGTATGCAGGCTGGCACTCAATCTACTGAGCCACACCAGCCAGGGACTTAATTTCTTTATTTAGCAAATGTATTGAGTGTCTGGTATGCCAGACACAGTACTAGGTGTTAGCAATACATACTTTAATCCAAAAAGTCTCACAGTTAAAAATGTAAAGAAAAAACAGTATTTCCTAATATGTGTATTAGTAGAAAAAAAATCATATGCCCCCTCTCCACACACACATATTTACAGGAAGTAAGAGAAAATAAACGATAATGCTGCAAAGCAATTTGTGTATCTTAATGTCAAGACAAAGTACATGGAACTACTTTAGTAACTCCAACTTACACTTTATGTATAATTCAAGAACATTCTGACAATTCAGAGTTATATTCAAACTTTTGGTTTTCTCACTTTACAAAAAAAAAAAATAGGAAATTGCTGCCCGAGTAAATCAGTCAGCTTTGGAAGCTGTCACTCCTTCCCCATCTTTCCAGCAGAGGCACGAGAGTCTGCGGCCAGCAGGGTGAGTTACCAGACTGGGTTATGTAGAGAAATTTATGGGGTATTGGAAGTGTTAGGGAACACTTGATTTTAGTGGTGCTGCCTAGATTAGTAATAAACAGTTCCCTAAACAACATAGAAATTGTATTTTCAAGTTGGTAAATTTACCAGCAAGAGTGCTAAATAAATGATTCCGAGTCCCTATTGTTTATGTCTAGATTGAGGTGATTTATATTTTTAAATTTAGTACTTGGAAAGAAAGAAGTCTTTCGTTAAATAAGTACTATGATGTGGGATTGTGCTTATTAAAATTTGTTCTGCTCTTCTCATTGACTTACAAAGTTGTATTTTCTTTCTCATAGTTTAAGTGTTTAATTTCCCAAAGAGAAAACCAAATATAATGCCTTTTTGTTTTCTTCTGTGTTTAGACAATCTCGACCATCAACAGCTCGAACCAGCAGTTCAGGATCTTTAGGATCTGAATCCACAAATTTGGCTGCCCTCTCTCTGGATTCTCTTGTTGCCCCAGACACCCCAATACAGTTTGACATCATTTCTCCTGTGTGTGAAGATCAGTCTGGGCAGGCAAAAGCTCCTGGCCAGGGAGGCAGGTGGGTGACGGTATCACTGGGACATTGTACTCTAGTCTCTTAAGGTTTATGATTCCATTCCTGTGTTTCAGAGTCATCTTTTACATATCATATGCAACAGCTATGTTGTACCTTGTTTAGTTACCTAACATAATTTTGACAGTTGGGAAGAATCCTGGCAGGTTTTTCTTTGTTTTCTGCCTCAGTTAAATGAGTTAAGATAATTTAGTTTTAAAAGCATTTAATTCTGAATTTGCCTATCATATCTTCCTCGGTATTTGCTATTAAAATTGCAGAAGAAAGCCGACAGTCCTATCTTTAGGTCATGACAATATTTTTAAAATTCTTGAAAGTAATACATGTGCTATAGGTTTATTAGAAAATATTATCTGGTATCAGAATAAGAAATCTCTGAATTAATAATGAACCACCTTTTGTTTATATAATGAGAAATATCCTTGGGCAGAACATTAAAATTTTTCTTTGGCTGTGGATGAAGGAAATGTGACTTACGGCAAATTATTTATTAAGCAGGTTGGACCCCTAATAAATTTATAATATATTAATTTGGATATGCATGGTTGTGATCCAGAAAATGTAATTTACGTTTGATCACAGAAATATACTTAGCATTTGATATAATAGGTTAGACGTATATTGGGGAGATAATTTCATGTTAACTTAATGCCAGTGTTATTTTTGGACCACTTAGCTCTTTGTTTGCTTACAAAACTTACTTTGAATTGTACTTTTTTCCCTTCACTGGGGTTGTGCAAGAGCCAAGGACAGTAACATGGGAGATGGCTTCCATCTCTAGGTAGCTTTTTCTTTCTTTTGCATTCTGTTACATATGCCTTGAGAAATACAGGTTTAAAACTAGAAAATGTTGAAATTATCATAATTAACTTGTGACATATACTTAGAGAACCTAAAAAGAGGTTTTTCCATCCCAGAAAATGTTTGACATTTTTCTCAAGTAGCTAAAATTGACGCTAAATCAGCTGTTTCTCTGTCTTAGTTTATTTAAATTTATGAACTTCTGCAACATGTTTTTACAATATTGCGGAGAGGGGGTGCGGGGGTGTGTGTGTGTGTGTGATTTAAATTTATGAACTTCTGCAACATGTTTTTGCAGTATTGCGGGGTGGGTGGGTGTGTCCGAGCTTCCAATCCATTCACTCTTTCTAAAATGCAGCAACTTTGAGTTCAGTCTGTTAACCCAATGTAAAGGCGATGGCTTTCCTCAGAGCAGTCTGTTCATCTGCAATGTTCCTTAATAGAATGGAGTATATTAGAGTGTTTTTTTTTAAATGCATGTACAAGCTCTTGTGACTCTTAGTTTTTAACTCTGGTTTGATTGATATTCCTTCCCTGTAGCTCATTGTAACTAACTGTTGGTTCATAATTTTTAAAAAAACATTTCAGGCGGACAAATCCATTTGGAGAATCTGGAGGAGGTACAAAATCTGAAACTGAAGGTAAAACAGACATGCAGTGTTCTCGTATGTTTTAGAAATTCTCAGCAATAAACTGTAAAGAATTTGTTGTTTACATTTGTTCTGTCTGCTGTTTTAATGGTAACTTTACCTCACAATTTTTTCTTTTTACTCAAAGTACTCTTAAAGCAACAGAACTTAACTGGATTTAAGATTTTGTTATTCACTCAAAATTATAGAATATTATACTTTTGACCTCATAGTCAAGGTCTCAGTGCATATCCTTCAAGCTTTTCCTGACAGCAGATGTTTTCTTCTGGTCCTGGAGCATAACTTTTTTCCCTTTTTCTAGTAGCTGTTTATTTTTATTTAATGTCATACTTACAGAAAAGCTGTAAAAAAAATAGTGCAAGGAATTCTTTGTGTTAGAGCCACCAATTGTTGAAGCATAAACTTTGCTATTTGAATTTGAGACCTTAATTTTCCTGTAACTTGAACACTGTTGTTAGTAGTTCTCTAAATACTTCTGTTAGGTTGAAATTTTCACTGGAAAATCTAAAAGGAGGCAGTGTATTTTATTCTTTAGGAAAACAAATGTGGGATTTAAAAGTACGTAACACACCTTGTTCTGTCGTAGATTCTATTCTTCATCAGTTATTTATTGTCCGATTCCTTGGTTCTATGGAGGTGAAATCAGATGACAGTCCAGATGTTGTTTATGAAACAATGCGCCAAATCTTAGCTGCCCGGGCCATCCATAACATCTTTCGTATGACAGAATCACATTTGTTAGTCACTTGCGATTGTTTGAAGTAAGTAGTAACCTCTCCTTCAGAAAACTGTAGGAAAAATGTTTATATAATTTTAACCTAATTATAATTTGTTTTCCAAATTTTTAATTATTATTATAGGTTAATTGATCCACAGACACAAGTTACAAGGCTCATGGTGAGTTCTACATGTTTAAAGCTTAAAGTATCTTTGGGCATATACACATCTTACATCTTTATAATAATAATCCTGATCCTGTATATTCAGATGTAGTTTCAACTATAATTGATCTTTAGGCTGTCATAGTTAAGTTTATGGCCATCTCTCCAAAAAAAGTTAAAATTGAACATTCCAGGTAACTTAAAGAACTAGTGCAATCTGGTGTGATACGTAGTGTTTATCCCATAGCTAGGGAGCATATGTCATACACTAAAGAAACTAATAGTAGAATTTAAAAGGGGAATGTGATTGAGTTTATTTTATAATTAGCTATTTTGAAATAGCTGTAAGCGTGTGCTTCTGTTTAATCATTTCATAATATATACCACTTTTGTTACTGAATTTTACTTTGTAAAATGTGTTAATGACTAATAAAACAAATTCAGTATTCAACAACTTCTTATCCTACCTGGCAATCCACGCCAAATATATTATTTGTTCTTGGATTACCATTTTGTTAAGGGAAAAAACGGGGCTCTAATGTTCTATTTAGGTTATTTTTTTATAACTTAGCATGAATTTGTTATGTATAAGAGTACTGTTGTAATGGATTGAAAAATCTCATGTTTGCTTCTGGTATTTTTCTGTGGCAGTTTCCATTACCTAGTGTAGTTTTGTATGCTACACACCAGGAAAATAAGAGGCTTTTTGGATTTGTTCTTCGGACATCCGGAGGGAGAAGTGAAAGTAATCTATCATCAATCTGCTATATATTTGAATCAAACAATGAGGGGGAAAAGGTACCTGCTTTTCAAAATGTGTCTTTGTTGTGAAATACATATCATAGTCAAACTTCTTACTAAGATTTCTGGGAAAAAACTCAAACTTTGCCTAGTCCAACTGGATTGCTTAACCAAAGCCTGTTGCTCTGAAGAGTGCTGAGCTGATGTATTGGGCCTTCTAAGTTCTTTAGACCTGTATCTTTCTAGTCATTGGTAGCTGGTGCAATCTTCTGGCCTCATTAATTTATCCTGGGAATGCAATATATTCCCATAATCATCTATTTTCAGATGTCTTCAGCTTAGAGTAGCATCAGGAGGTGCTTGCTTCATTCTTTGCAGAGCCTATTATCTCAGTAATGAATAAGAGATGACAAAGTGGGTACATTAAAGAGGTGCCAGGCAGCAACTGAAGTTCACAGACTCTAAAGAGAATACACTACAGCTTGTTTTTGGGCCTGGAACATTCTTAAATCAGCTTTTTTTTTTTAAGCAATATATTATAATAAGTTATACTTTTCCCCTTTTAGATTTGTGATTCTGTTGGACTGGCAAAACAGATAGCTTTGCATGCGGAACTGGTAAGAATCTGAGACATTTAATTATCCAAGAATGTTGACTAAAGTAATAAATAAAGATTTTTCATATTGGCAAATAAGTAAAATGATTTTAAGTAAGGTTAACACTGGATACTATTGCTAATTTGGCATTTAGAATTTGTGTAAATGGCTAACAGAGTGTAAATCTTTGGTGCACTTTCTCATATAAATGCAGAAAATAATTTGAAAAGGTAACAAAGGTAATATTAATTGAAAAGTCTAAATTTTAAAGTTATTTCATATTTAATTCATTAGTTGTATTCATCTGTTCTTCAGGATCGTAGGGCATCAGAAAAACAAAAAGAAATAGAGAGAGTAAAAGAGAAGCAACAGAAAGAACTCAGTAAACAAAAACAAATTGAAAAGGTATGCAGTCCTAATGTTTGGATCTTCTCTGATGTGATCTTTGCAGAGTTTCCTTAATTCAGCACTGTGACTTTCAGATTTGAATTTCCAAATGAAGGTCTGTTTCTGCTTGCTCAGCTACTTTATAACCAGTTGGTTCATAGCATAGCAGAAAAGGATGACATCTGTCTTCTGACATGATGTTTACATTATAGTTACACTGACATGTGGAGTAACTTGCCATTTAGCAAACATATCAGAACTTTCTTGTTTCCATATCCCAGGGAGGTTGTCTCTGTCAAAGCAGGTCTTTTGACAGGCTCTGTCATATAGAGGTAACTGCCATTGCTGAAATTCACATTGGTCTTTAGGAATATATATTATATATAGGTAATCTATAAATATTTAATGTTACTAGGAGTGTCAAATCATTATCCATCCAAATTTTAAAACAAAATCTGGACAATGCATAGATAGGTGATACGTGAGATTGTAAAGGCCAGGTACAGGTTGCGGCATTGACAGTAGCAGATGAGATGACTGGGATACTTAATGAGAATGGGTCGGCAAGAATTGTCAGTGGAGTGGCTGTGTGGACAAAGGAGAGGAAAGTGGCAAAGATGACCCTGAAGTCAAGGCTTTCTTGATCGATTAGGCTGAGGGAAGGTGACAGGTGATTTAGCAAGATAAATTAGACAAAGATGAAGAACAGGGGATGTACAGTGATCTCTCGTGAGTGTTTTACTGTAGAGTATAGTGAGCGATAACAATGGCCTGAATTTGGTTATTGACCATAATAATGGAGAAGAGGGAAATACTTTTATAGGATTTAAAGAATGGAACCAGAGTTCATTTTGGTGCCTCATTGGTTGTGTGTGGCCTTTTTTTTAGTAAGTTGCCAGAATTATGCATTATATTTATGACAGAAGGATTGAAGTGGTTCTTAAGTATGTATTTTAACTGCATAGTTTTCCATTTGATTGCAAACAATTAACTTATAGTTTCTTTCTGTCTTTTCCACTAGGACTTAGAAGAACAAAGTCGGTTGATAGCTGCTTCCAGTAGACCAAACCAAGCCAGTAGTGAGGGGCAGTTTGTTGTCCTTAGCAGTAGCCAGTCAGAAGAGAGTGATTTGGGAGAAGAAGGAAAGAAGAGAGAGTCAGAAGCGTAAACTTGTCCTTGCTTTTGGTTGACAATTACCCCCTTCAAATTTATTGACAATTTCTGTGGTGAAATGGCACAAGGTAACAACTATGTTGAAATATCAAGGAGGAGACTAAAGTTTATATCTGCTTGTTAGTTTTAACTTCATTTTAAAAAATAACATTGACCTTGATGACAGGTTTGCATTGATTTCTTTTCCTTAAAAATAATAACCTATGCAGTAACATCAAATTCTGTATATCTAAAAGAAACCTGTTCATCTCCCGAAAGTAGATTGCCAAGGAATTATACTTGCTCAAGCCTTTTTTCCTTCAGATTGTGATATACATCATCTTGCATTGTAATTGGCTATGACCTTAAGAAATCATTTCTTCTTTAGCTTCAGATATTCATGGTTATGCTCCCTCTCTCTCATTAAGAACATTTTCTTGGTAGTGAGGAAGCTTTTGACTGAATAGGTTCAAAACCCTTTATACAGAAAATTCTACAAGTTTGCAAATATTTTAACAATATTAAATGTGCAATAGAATTTTTATAAAATAATTAGAAAAGAGATTTTAGACTTAAGGTTTTAAATTGTGGCAGGTGGCACTGTGGATTTCAGGGCACTTTTTCTTGGATCGCTCACATTTCTCTGATGTTCTTCACCTGATGCCATTGGGAAAGAAGCTTGTATCTTTAGTTCAGTTATTGATACAGCTCTGGGCATTTTATTATCACATTCTTAGTTCTCAGGTTGGAACTTGAATTATTGCTGCAGAGCAGTAATTGTTAAGATTCTGGAATTTATTAAAAGGGATTTTTTGTTGATTAAGTACATTTTAGATTAGGATTTAACATGTAAAGATGTTGTTACAGGATAATACATTGTATTTTCTGCATTGAGCAAGATAATTTTTATTGAAAATCAAGTGACATTTCAAAAGAAGGTCTATAATAATTGTTTCCTGCTTAAAGTAAAAATTCCCAGAGATTAGTTTAGAAAATGTCTTTTAAATTTCAGACTGATACCCATAGTATTTTCATAATCCCATGTTTTGATAAAATACTGACACCACTTTATATCCACAAAGGTAAATAACTAATATACAAGAATAGAATAATTTGCACTAATTATTGTAAATACTTGTACTCTTCCGATGAGTGAAATGTCTAGTTCCATAAAAGACTTAAAAGGAATTGAATGCTAGGAATAGGAGAGTTGACAAAGGAAGGGCTTAGAGTGTGGTGTCAAGGTTAAAATGACATTTCTCTACTGCCTACTTCTGTGTCAACACTTGATTTTTTGTCTTTACTCAGATTTTTAATGTTGCTGATAGAAATTATGTTCCTGTGTTTCACATGTAAAAGCATATATAGACAAGTTAAGTATATTGAATAAACTATTTTACAGTTATACATTTGAAATTTTCAAGAGATTAGCCACTAAGACTAATTTTACAAGGGAAAAGCCTTTCTTTTTAAATATATACATCTTTTTCTTCTTAGTTTTGAGTTAGGAATGGCATTTTTTAGTTCTCACAATATAGTACACTGTTTTCTGTAGGAATGGGATAGGTAATTATATATAGGGTCAGGATACTCTTTTATCCATGTGCCAAACGGGAATAATGATTACATGACAATCATTATTTTGAAGCCTTAGGTTACCAAAACACTTAGTAAAAATGTAGAGGTTTATGGGATACTTTCTGGAAAAAAAGCTCATTTTGTGCTTGCTTACAGGGGATGCTTTCACAACAGCTTGTGTCATTCCTCTTGTAGAAGTTGAAATTTCTTCTGTAGTCAGTACTTGATTAGTCTTGCAAGTCATGCTTTTGGGACCTTTTAGACAATTAATAAGCTTTCTGTTTCATTAAGTCTTTTGTTTATATTATTAAGTTGCCAACTCACTCAACTCAGATGAAATTTGTCACCCTACAAGAGAACTGGTCAGCATTAGAAGGCAGTTTTACTAAGCTGGTGCTTTGCAGGTAGTGAACTGCCTCCCTTTGTTAGCACTCTGGGTCAAAGTGTTGGGTAGTGTTAAGGGTGCTGGAAGGTGTCGGGGTGCTGGACAGACTTACAGTTCCTTTAAGTCATGTTTTGATAGGATTTCCACAATACACACATGTCCATAGGTCAGACAAATGCACATTCCAACACCAAACAGAAGTCATGTGTGAGTTTAATAATTTTTAGATGGTTCACCTTCTGTTCCATTACTATAGTACTATATGAACTGTTCAATTACTGCAAATATTGAAGCATCAACTTTAATAAACTTTTTTGATTAAAGAAGACTGCCCGTGGGTTCCTGTATAATGTTTAAATTGATCTTTTGTTACCCTTTGAAATCTCTCCTAGCTTTGGGATGCTTTGGTGTTAATTGAATTAGATTTTGGAATCTCTTCCTCAGATTCAAATTTAGACTTAGTGGTTTTTAGATTTAACAAAACTGATTTTTAAAAGGAAAGAAATTAAGTCTACCTAATTCTGCAATGCACTCTGTTACCTATATGAACAGTTCTTTTGTACCTATGGTAATGAAGTCAATAGATAGAAAACAAGTTATTCCTTTTCCCTATTAATATGTTCAGAACTTGCTAATAAGGGACTAAAACTATTACCTTAAACAGAATCCCCAAAGCCAGTCTGGTTTTTGTTTTGTCATGTCTACAATGATAACTTTGTGTTTAATTTCAAAAGAATTATCAGGCTCCACAGTCTAGGGGTGGTAGATTTATTTTACCTTTATGCTTGGAAAAAAGATAGTAAGTTGTGCATAACATTCTATGTAACATATAATTTTATGTGGTAAAGGAATTGGAATTAATTTTGACTTATATAAAGAAACTTGAAATATTTAAGATTTAAATCTTCCTATAAATGCTGATAGACTCTAAGGGCCCATGTGTTATAAAATCATCTGCCACCTGAATTAATGAAATGAAAATATTAACATTGGTTTTGACAATAACATCCTAGCATTCAGACTGTACTTTAAATATCAAACACTGATCATAGCAAGCAAGACTTTCATTTTATTTCTGGAAAGTTTGGTTTACTCTTCTTTCATGAGATTTTGTTCTCCTGCATTAATAAATAATACATAAAAATTTGAAACTGGAACTATATTATGCTTTTTAACCAATCTCTTGCAGCTGTACTCATATGTAATTTACTTCAGTTAACACAAGAACAAAGTTAATAATGTCATTAATATGAGATTAAGTTACAACTAATGTGTAAAACTGCTTTGTATATTTGGTGATTTTGTAATGTAAGTGAATTGATTAATCCTTATTTTACTGATACTGTTAAATCATGCAGCATACAATTAAATTCATGCTACATTTACCTTTAGAATTGGATTTGAAGAACTCAGTTTTATGTAATGGTGGTATACATGTATACATGTGGGGTGCAGAACTTATTTTTTCATTTTGTTAAAATAGATATTGCCTGACAAGGCTTCAGGAAATAATGCTGTTAGGAGATTTTTAATGTATAATAAAGTCCATGATTTTTGTACTGTCATTTTTTGTATGAAATATGTGTCATATATTCTGAATTTTATTTCTCTAAGTAATTTCAGTTGACGCTTATAAACAATTGGACTTTTTCTTAATTTGTTATGCCACTATAATTACACTTCTAGCCTCATTGCAAGTCCATAACAGCTAAAATGAAAAAGAAATTGTCACGTATTGAAAAGTAAAACTAATTCATCACTAGTGACTTTTTTTTTTCCTTTTAGAAAAATAAAGAAACTTCTCAGTAAGTACCCTAGACATGTTATGGACAATGTGACAGTGTATACTTGCTATGTTTGGTTCTATTCAAAGAAATTCCTATAGTTTAAAGGGGCAGGTTATTGTGTGTACCAGCTTAAGTGTCTTGGGCCTATAGTTGTAGTTTCCTGTAGCACTTACTAAGGTCTTTTCTTCTAATGGGAGTTTCTGTTCTTTCTTGTTTTGAATTTTATAAAATGTATATACACTTTTAGAAGGTCCAGGGGGTAGATGAAATTAACTTCAGAATTATGTAATTCATCTGATATAAGTGCATGTATCTCCTAAGTATATTTGTATATTGACATACATATAATTTACGTCACTTATAAAGAGATACTACAATTTGATTTAAAAAATAAAAACTATTTATGGCAGTCAGTTTTGCAATTTTTTTATGTGAAAACTATATTAAAAATAATTGTAAGTCTGTACTTACTCAAATAGTCTATATGGCCACAAATCCCTACATCAGAAAGAAATATAACTTCAGTTTACCTACAGTGGACTACATTATGCTAAAAAAAAATATGCTAAGGCTAAACATGTAAACATCAGGCTGTAGCTGACTGGATCTGTGAAAATAGACTACATCATCTTACCTCTCTGCGCTTCCTGTTGATGTGTCATCTAAATGCTACACATGTGTGACTGAGTGAATGCCTTCTTAGTTTCTTTCCTCATTTTCCACGCAGAGAAAACTGTACTTACAGCCCTCACTGGTGTGGCTCAGTGGATTGAGTGCCAGCCTGTGAACCAGAGGGTCACCAGTTCGATTCCCAGTGTAGGGCACATGCCTGGGTTGCAGGCCAGGTCCCCAATAGGGGGCACACAAGATGCAACCACACACTGATGTTTCCCTCTCTCCCTTCCCTTCTCTAAAAATAATTAAAATAAATAAATCTTTTTAAAAACTGTACTTACATACAGCATAGAACATATAGAAATAAAACTTTAAGATTCTATAATTGCAGCCCTTCTATATGTCCAGCACTGGACTGGTTCAGTATAGAAATTATAAGCCATCATTTTCTTGAAAACACTTGTAATTTCTATTCTAGTGATCACATTAACCAATAAATGATAAATGTTAACCAGGGTTTTGTGGAAAGAAGGGATGCATATTTCTCATTAATGATGAAATTGCAATTGAAGGCTCTATTACAATTAATTACTCCACCTCAATACTGGACTCTAGTAAACAGACACTAAGCTGGCCTCGGGACTTTTGCACAAGGATAGCTAACTTCTAGGTCATGTGCTGGAGTCAATATTTATTCACTGCAATCAATAACACATTTTATATATGTACTTCTCTATAAAGGGGATTACTGTTAAGAATTGTCTTGCATTATCAGAGGTGGCACCTATTATCTTGAGCATGTAGAAATGTGGATTCATACACTTAAAGATCAATATACAATTAGAACTGATGTATTTCAATTAATTGAAATTTTTACTGTTGGTCTTTTTAAACTACCTTTCAGATGCTAGCCATCTATATATTGAAAGGCTAGTTCAGAGCAACTCTTTAGGGAATGTAGATTGAATTGAGATTTTAGTTGCTAGGTAAAGGGAGAAGTAGAAAGCACATATAACAAGTCAAATTTTAAGTACTAAATAACTCTACCTTTTCAACCAGAATAGTTTGATTACCAGGCTCCTGTAAAAATTCCTTGTCCATAAAGGTCATATTCTTGGTAAAGGACATAAGCTTTTAGAAGATTGGGTAACGGAAGAAACGACATGAAGACAGGGCAACGCAAATGCAAACGTCCCATACACTTCCGGATCTTAAGGCGGCACAAATGTTTCAGGGAGCGAGGGTTTGCTAAAATGAGAGAAAGAGTTGTCCATTATCCAAAGGAAAAAAATTGATTTTTTAGTAATTTTAGGGTTTAGTTAGGAAATGTATTTTGTTAATACTTAAGCCACCAAGATTTTCATTTGCTGTGATTAAACGGAAAAGTGAATGGGGAAACAGCTCTTCATTTCCCATTCAATCCTTCTTGTAAACATGGTTTCAGAGCCATGTCAAGTTAGAATTCAAAGACTGGCATCAATTAATTGTGAGTCTGGCCTTTGAGACCTGAGGTTCTTAAATATGCATGTATTAATCCCCACTACCTCCACCCAATCTTGTTCCTCAGGGTCAGACTAAAAACTAAAGCTCACTACTCAGAAAGAAATTAAATGAAAAATTCTTTGACTTGATGTTCTACTGGAAAGTATTTGGTTTGAACAGTTATTTGATATGCTAAAGACTTAGATCTTAGCTTTTATTTATCTCTTTTTTTGTTGGCATTTCATAGCTTTTAATTCCTGTGTATACACTGTTCCATAGGATTAGTAGAAAAGTATTACCTACCTATATAATAAGTAGTTACCTAACACTTCATTTACCTGGAAAGATAATAAGTGCAAAGTACGTATAGTTACACACAGTAACATTTTTTAGATAGGAATAGTATTTTTCTTGGTTCCTTTAGGTCAAGTTTTTAATGAAGAGAAGAATGGTCTACAAAACAAGAATACAATTTGTATTTTTGTTAAGAACCTTCTACAAGAAAGAAAGATACTTACTCAAAATACTATGGATTTCTGACCAGAGCCCCTGTTTTTGGAGCACAGCTTTCAACTTTGAACAGATCCGAACTTGATCAACATAATCGAGCATCACTCGAACAACCTTTCCAGAGAGATGTTGCAGCCACGACAAAGTTATTACTTCACAGAACTGAGGAAGAAAATCAGAACTATGAAAGTAAATTAAAACTAAGTATTTATGGTTTAGCATAGTAACCAGAAGAGCAGTAAACTCAGAATCCAAGGTCTCAAGTTTCATGTTTATCAACTAAGGTGTTGAGCAAGAAAATCTACTTTGTAGCTCTAACATTTGGAAAGATATTTACTACTATACCTTCAGCACTATGTGAGATGTAGTGAAGGTGTGAAAGACTGTTATATAGTATCTGTTATCCCCTTTGGCCACGTGGCTGTCTGGCATAAAGATTACCTTTCTGGCTTCACCTAGATGTGGCCACCTGAGTTCTAGCCAATGAGATGTAAGTGGAAGTGTGAGTAACCCCGAATGCCCTTAAATAAGAGCAAGGCATGTGCTGCTTCCTCTGCCTGCCTCCCAGGTGGCTGGAATGTGGATGCAGGGGTCTCTTGTGAATCATGGAGCTGTACAGTTAGAAGCCTTTATTAAAAAAATTAAACTTCTGGCCTTTATTTGAGAGGGGAATGGGCCATCTTCTTAAAGCTCCTCTTTGGGTTTTCTATTATTTATAACCTATTCCCACCCTGTTACTTCAGGAAATGATAATTCCTGTCTTTAAGTAGCTTACACAGTCTTAGAGAAGATGTTCATGTAAAAGGTCAAGTCAGGAAATAACGTATGTGCCTAAATGCCAAATCTTACATTAATCATAACAAAAATAAGTCATACAATATAATATTTTGCCTTTCATTTTTCAGAATTGATTTGAAGTACTTTCTCCACTC